TGGTGCAGCACTACGTTCCTCAGCGGGTCACCATCTTTGTATGATTTTGCTGCATGGTATGGATAGTAATCGTGCAAGTCCTCTACCGCAACAACAGACCATGACGGGGCAGAGTGTTGCGGAATGGCATAAGAATGAGTGTGTCGGTCAAATGTAACGGTTTGCCATTCTTCTGTGACCAGTTTTACGCTAGTTTCCTCAGTAACGATGACGTACATAATCTGCTGAAAATGGGCATCGAGTCTTCTGACTTTCCCGTGATTACCAGACGTTTCTTGCAGTATTTGATTCCATGAACAATGCACCATCTTGCCACATAAATATCCTCAAATAAATTAATCTGCAATTTCCTACTTAAGAAATCTGACCTTTCCAAAGAAGCTACTAACTCACACGATACAGGACCGACTTCCACATCTCTCTCGGCCTACGGTTTACCACTCATTAGATTGTAACAAAGATACATCTGCTGTCTAAGACATAATGTTTTTAAGATGATCTGGCCAATAAAGTGATGATCTTGCTCTACCCTTACATTTTTTTATCTCAAATAGTTGCACATTTCAAGAAACCTCTGCAATTCAGTTTTATTCTGAGGAACAGGCACGTCACCAAAATATTTCTTTGAGGTGCATAAGATCAACATGTCCAAGAAATGTTATTTGAGTGGCGCGAAATTGGCACTTATTTCCTATTTTATTTTAGACATAGAAACGTTGATTTTTGATTTCTTTCTTGTACCACTGTTCTTAAAAACACTTCTAAACAATAACCTCAGCTCAGTTTAAATATCTTTATTGTTTTGGTGTGGAAAAAAGGAGGTGGGGACTTTAGCACCTAGCTCCTGGTTCTGGCGTTCCTTTATCCCAGTGAACTTTAAGGCAGCCTAAATTATAATACAATCTTGAGCGTTCATGTCTCCATTGACTTCTTCAAGGACTTAGCTAAGAAATATCCTTTTCAAAAATTTCAGATTCATGTGAGACACCAAAATGTATTCTACTTAAATAACGTCCAAACGGACTATTAAAGCACAAAAGCTTTGAGCTCTTCTCATCTAATTTAATTTGCCATTAGCGAATACTACCATCACATGCTTGATTAGATTCAAGTTGTCACAAGTAAGAAGTCCTAATAGTGGAAGTGTCGTTGTCTCCGCGACAATAAACAGGACGTGTACATCGCACGTTTTCTTGTAGGTCAGTTGCGAAATACATCTTCCAACAACGAGAATATCAGTTGCAATATATGCGATTGAATTTACTTTCTTGAGCTTTAATCTTGGCTTTTGTGTCAACTAATACTATTGTATTGGGATTTTGGTAGAACAATAACTTTTGCACCAGTGTCCGGTCAGCTTGTATCTAATATAGCATTGGCCTTCATCTTCTGGGTGTATATTTTATGGTACATTTAAAGCGACATGCTGGAACTTGTAATGGGGGGAAATGATCTCAAATGTCAGGTTTAGCTCAACTCATTGAAAATATCTTAGATACCAACATGAAACTTGAAATTGAGCTTAAACAAATTGTCGATACAGTTCTTTTTGTGGAATGCTTGCCATTGGATTACGAGGTCATGGTGATGGTGCTAAATTTCACCAAAGGCTGGTTGTTATTCAGTCAATGGCAATGTTGGTAATTTTGTTGAATCTTTAACTTTTAGTGTTAGAGCTGGTGATCAAAATTTTGAAGATCATTTGCTAAAATGTGGCGGGACTAAAAGTTATATTTCCAAGACTAGCCAAAACAAAATCATCAATTGCCTTGGTAAGGTAATATCAGAAGATGTGATAAACGAGATAAAAAATAGATATTATTCTATCATTGCAAATGAAGCTACTGATTCTACTCACTAAGAGCAATTGCCCCTTGTTCTACTGATTTTTGACTCTTTAATGAATGTTAGAGTAGAGTTCATGCGTTTCCTACATTGCAAATGGGGTTGAGTGGTCAACAACTTTCAAAGCTTATTTTAGAAACTCTACAGAAATTTGCTTTACCAACTATGGGTTACAGGGTTATGATATGCAGGGCTGTTTCAAGTCATATAAATGGTTTAGCAGCCAACATTTTAGGAACAATCATCCTAAAGCTCTTTACACTCACTGTTACAGTTATCAACTAAATTTGTCTGTCTGTGACACTCTTTCTAACGTTGAAATTAATGACATGTTATCTGTTGTTTCTCAAGCAACTAATTATATCAACATATTACAGACACGCAACATGCCCTTTGCTGAGCACGTTAAAAAAAGTCGGATGTTCAGACCAAGAAGGCAAAACTGGCAAGTCTTTGTAAACCAGATGGGCTGAGCGAGTTGACTGTCTTGATGCGCTCGAACAGTTGTTGATTCATTTAATCGACACTCTTCAGGACATAATAAACAGTTTAAGCGAAGAGGTGAAGCCTTTCTATCCTGTTGATGCTTCTCAGTTACTTTCATTAGTCACTCAATTTCATTTTATTGTTGTCCTAGTTATAACGAGAAACGTTCTTGATGCTACTCTTCAAGTCACGCAATTGTTGCAGGAAAATCTATTGATTTTATGGATGGTTTTCATTTGATAACCACTTTGAAGATTGATATAGCCAACATGAGGAAAACCATTGATTTTTATTATAACAGTTGGTATGAAGAGGTCAATGTTCAAGAAACAAAAAAGCGAGTTGTTAGAAGACAAACTATGCCATCTAATCCCCCCAGTCAATCATTCAAAGAACATTATAAACTAACCATCACTACTCCTTTATTAGACCAACTTCAAACATCTTTGAGCACTAGGTTTAACTTGGATAGTGTTAATGTGTACCGAGGATTATCTATCGTTTTTCCCGTCAAAATGATGACTCTGTCTGACAAAGGCATTGATTGGAAAGAACAGTTTGAGAGTGTTGCAAAATTCTATCATGTTGACTTACCCAATCCCCTTGGTTAAAATGCTTAATTAAAGCAATGGCGTTCATACTGGGAAACGATCAATGGGCCTTTGCTAGACAAAATCGTCAAAACACTAATGCATTTCCAGGATTTGAAAATATTTATGTGTTCTTCGCACTTTGGTACACTACCAATTACCTCATGTGAATGTGAGAGATCAATTTCAGCATTGAGAAATCTATGATCCTACCAAAGGAGCACTATGGTAGAGGAAAGTTTTAAATGCGATTAATCCTGACATAGAAAGAGTGATCGATAAATTTCCCTAAAGGTAATACACGTTTGAAATTTGCTTAATGTGTTATGGCTACATATAGTATAAAGCAAATTCCGAAAAAGCAAGACATCTTGAGATTGCAAAATATCCATCAAAACAAGACGAGAAGTGAACTGTAAATTTTCGACTTTATTTCAAAGTCATCCTCAGACAGAATGAGGATAAATCATTGCTTGAAAAGACCTTTTTCTTCTTTAACTCTAACTGCTAAAAAACTTCAAAAAACAGATATATTTGTCGTCCATACCGATAAAATATGTCTTCGTTTTCGATCCGTCGTCTCTTTCTTAGATGGTTCAGGAATCCCGGCCACATCAACGGTTAAGATAGCATCTTTCTTCAATCTTCTTTTGGGTTTTACTTGCACGCTCAACTTAAGGTCAAAACAAGAATCCTCAAAATGTGCAGAACAGAGACACGAAATAGAGGAAGCCTCAAAGCTGGTCGATGTTTTCGTACAAAATATACCAATTTTCTTCGTCTTTGCGGCTTTCTTTCTTCATTGGGAAACAGATGCATCGATATTCCTTCGGTTTTTGAATCATTGGCGTAACTACTTCAACAAAAGTTTTTTCAACTTCGCCTTAGGTTTCGAATTTTCATTTTTCTTCCAATTTTGCGTTTATTTTTCTTGTCACGTTTCATTTAAATTATTGTTAATGTCCCAAAGTTTCGTCGATAATTCTTTCTATATCTTCAGATATAGTTTTAGTGACGTCACGCTTGAAATCTCATCTCGTTTGTACGGCCATCCCCACGTCGTCAAGAATAGAAACCTAAACAACACCCTCGCTTAATTTCATTTACTAAACGTTTAAAATAAGAAAAAACGAGCGATCAACATATTTATTCAGGTTCCTTTTTGTACACCCTGTACAGGAAGAACTAATATTGACAAGTATGAAGATGAGTTTGTAACATGAGGTGGAAAATATTGTAAATATTTTAAATGATATTAAAATTTCTATTATTGACAAAAGTTACTCTCAATACCTGAGCAAACACCGCCAAAATAGAGTTTCGTGCACTTCATTTTAAAACTACTGTTATGATGTGTACATCGCATAGTTTGCAAAGCAAGACTAAATAAACGGGTTGGAAGGCCCTTGGTCATCCAAATTTTGTGTTGAAACATTTTAGCTCTTCATTGCCTCTTGTTTTAAAATTTTCAGTGAAACAATAACACTCAGGTCTTTGTTGACGAAATTCCTTGGTGTTTATCTTCGACAAAGTCGACTTGTAAAGTGTTTGATAGTTGTTTGCTTTTAAACATATCGGCTTCGGCTCTGTTAAAATAATTAACATTCGTAACAATTTCAAGATGAAAACACCAAACAACACTTGATTGAAAAAGTATAACTGATTTTAATCAAATTTAGCGCTTTTCATAACGACACAAATTTCTTAAAACTATACAATAAGAATTATGTTACATCCTGATCGCTTTTCCCAATTTCAATACTCAACCAGTGTGGTAGCTATCTGCGAATGTTTTCTTTTGATGAAAATTTCAGGACATTATTATTACATGTTTCTATATACAATTCACTACTTGTTTTTTACGTTTTCTCGGTTAGTGAACGAAAAAACTGTTTAGCAGGATAAATAAAGCAGGTTGGCTGCTATCCACTGTACTAAATGCATATGAAAAATACTGAATTGTAAGAATGAGAGCCAGTGTAGTCCTTTGCTCACTTGTGCTCTACAAAAAATACTACTAGATTTAAGCATTCTTTTAGAAGTGAAAGTTGAAAACAAAGACAACACTTATGTTTTTAGTCATTTCCTTGCTCTTTTTGTAAACATTGCACACCTTTGTAATAGTTGAGCACATTCTTCATGGCCATAAATTTCTGCAATGTTTCGAGGGCTATCCCCGAAATCATCCTCAATGCCGATCTCAGTGCCATGGTGTATTAGAGTTTTTAATATGTCAAATTTTCCAGCTTCAGCCGCACAATGGGCTGGTGTCCAGCCTCCAGTCATTCGTGAGTAAGGATTTGCTCCCGATTCCAACAGTAGCTTTACACACCTCGAGTTTCCTTATGAAAAAATATGCACTAATAGAAGAGAAGGAGGAAAGAGAAGTTAAAGGGTTAATTCAGGAGGAGAATTTAAATTTAACTAAGGTACTCACCTCTTTCAGCAGCACAATGCAATGGAGTTCTATTTCCCCATCCTTCGTCAGTTACGTTGATCAAAATCGTTCCACGTTTTATGAAAGATTGAAGCTCTTCAATTCGTCTATCGTCACCATTTGCTGCTGCTTCGTGAAGCAGCAGTTCCAATACAATATGAGAACCATTAAATGACGACCTGATTGCTGACATAGGGACGACTCCGGTATTTTCTTTTACAACGATAGAATTATGACATATGACATATAGACAATTGTAATGAATGAACTAGATAGAACTATATAAGGACAGGAGTTTTAACTTTAGATAATTTCTGATGAAGACACTGAACTAGAGTATATAAGGACTCAGGTTTCAACATCAAATCACTTTTGATGTAGGCACTTGACTGAAGCATACGAGGCCTTAAGACTCAACATCAGATCACCACTCATGAAGAGATTGGAGTCATAATGAGTCATAAACGGCAGTGTAGGATGGCTTTAACAAACAATTCATAATTCATCTATATGATCAGTACTACGGGAGCTGAAAATCAAAGTAAGTTTTTAAAGAAGTAACTAGACTTTATCAGGAGCTTGTTGGGGGTGCTACCTTGCGCTTAATATAAGTCCTTTCTACTTTGAAGTGCTTTGTTAGTTCTACCTAGAGTTAAAATGCACTTGAACTAAGATTAGGGCCTACACTAGCACGCTGATTATAAAGGGTGGTGTTGTGTATATTCACATATTAAGTTGTGCTCGACTGATTTCTTCTGAAAGTGAACTGGCTTTCTGTAGACGTCAGTCGAGCACAACTAATTATAAATACACACACCACCGCCACCCACAATTAGCGTGTTAACTCCGATCCTGACTTAGACTTGCTTCTTCGGTTCTTATATTAAGCATTATATCGTTTCTTCTTTAGCTGATTTTTGTACAGAAATGCTGAACACATACGTTCACACATACTTTAGATAATTTGGGTATCATGAACTCAATCAGCTACAATGGACAAAGTTTGCTTCTTCACTTTAATTTTAATTTACTTGCAAGTTTATCATATAATTACCCCGAATGAACGAGATACACTTCACTATAAATTGCCCTACGTTCATTTTCTAACAGGACGACAGCAAAACTTATTATTTTTCTTACCGGGTAGTTAAACTGCTATCGTTGGACTTGTTCAGTTTGTTGTCAAAACTACACCACACCATAAAACAGCAGTTCCACATCTGTTGAGAGTGCATTAGTAGTGCGATTTTTTGCAAATCCTGGTGGATTTAATAAGGCAAACAAAACAATACAGTAATATTTATGCACTAAGGGGAGCTATTTAAAACAAATTCGATATTATTTGTACATAATTAAGCTGTCAATTTGTCTTAAATTGTCCAATTAAAAGTAATCCCTGCTAAAGTGCAATATAAATTTCTAGTCTCTCTATCAGGCGCTTGGCAATCTTTGCAAAAACTTTCCTGGCGTGAAATGATCCAATTTTAAAATGAAAATCCGTATCGTCAATTAAAGAAGAGAGTGAAGCGTTTTGCTTTCAAATACATTTCATGCTGTTATTCTTTACATTTTGAAGAACACTCAAATAATTTATTTCTCCTCACCTGTCAAAATAACGTAGAGTCAAATATCTGCTTGTTTATTAAGCCTGTTCATTACATATTTTGCTCAATTTCAAGTGTTTATTAGTGAAACACTTAATCGCCACTGTGTAATCGGAATTTCAGAATGGAATTTTCCCATGATGTTTAACATTGAGCAAATGCGTGTGAGAAGAGTAGAATTTAATGGAGCAGACACGCCAAAACAGGTATTGATTTTATTATTATAAATAGCAATGGTTACATTATTTGTTGAAAGGCATATTAGATTTTATTGCTTTGAAATGCTGGTGTTGCCCTACTGTCAGGACATAAATAGTATCATGGTCCACCAGCTCTTTTCGACAGCATCCCTGGTTAGCTTGTTATCACAAAACCCATTATTCGTGAGGCAAATAAATTTTTTCTGGGTCAAGTGGTTCAACAATTCTTGGGCAAATGTGCAACATCTAGCATGATTTAGATTTCAATTGGATAACAGCATTTGTACATTTTTTTGGATAACATTTTTTTGCATTTTTTTTGCATTTTAATTGGATAACAGCATTTGTACATTTTTTTGAAAATTTGCAAGATACAACAAACTCATGTAAAACTGCTTGAGTACCACTTTATATATCCATTGTGACATTTTCATCCTTAAGACTGTTCATGTGCCAGTTTTATCATGTTGATTTTCTTAATCTTAATTATTATCATCACAAGAGTTTTCATGGAAGAAGTAAGCTACTACCTGTATGAAATTATATGAATGCAAACTGCAAATAAGAGTTAACATAGATAATTTACATTTTATGTTGTGTCTGTTTCAGATCACCCTATACACTTTACATGTATTAAATAAGTTATTTGATACAAATAAATTGAAAAAAGTAATCAATCAATAATTCTATTGAGTAAAATTAAATTTTATTTTCAAAATGTGAAAATAGAACAGCATTTATATAGCATGCCTGAAAAGCTGAGTGTCCTATATGTATTATAGTAGACGTTACGTCGATATTTTTTATTTAAAATATAGTACAAAATCAAAAGTCCCCGCCAAATACTTCGACATACACGACTGTAAAATGCAGTCTGGCTGAGTGAGTGAATTGAAATCTTTCTTCTTAATTGCACAGAGCCATTTTTGACTCTTGTCGATACTGTTTTTGCCACTCGGGACCAAGTACGTTTTACACCCTTTGTTCCTTCAGTAGGTATAATGAGCACAGCATAAAACCGAACTTTTTTTAATTTAATTCAGTTAAACTATAGTTTTGTATTGCGCTCAAGGAACAAACATGCCGGCGAGCGACCTATTTAACCATATTCACTCAAACATCTTGCAGAATACAGAGAACAATACATGTTTCATTTCTCTCAATACAGGGCTCTCGTTACATGTACTTATTTTCAATGGTACATTTCTGCATGTGGTCATTTCTTTTCTTTCCTTTCATCTATTATCTTTATGAAATGTCGGTAAAATAAACATTTTTTTATCAAAATTGGTCAATTCTTAATTCACCGGAATCGATCTTGATACTCGTTAAACATATTTTATCCCTTATTTTCTCTAACTACCTTTCAATAAGCTATGATATTTTATGGCATACTAACTGTCACAGCAGAGACTCGTATTTTCTTAACTTTTTTATATACTTTAGAGGTTGTTGTATGGCTAATCCTCAGTCACTACAATCTGTAAATTGGAAACTCTCTGTATTAAGAAGTTTAAGAGAAACGAGCGTCTCTAATGTCCTGTAAATTACAAAATAAGTTATGTCGGAGCAGGATACAAATTTTAAGCTAAAGGCATTAAGTCATTCCAAAATCTAGATGAGATTACTTATAAATTTCATCCTAAAAAACTGGATGATGATTTAGGGTTTAAAAGTTCTTTAATCCAAAATATAGCTTCCTGCCATTAGTTATGCAGAAACAAATTCAACTCAACTGAGCTAAAAAGGGCTCAAAAGCGAAAAGCAAGTGAAGATGAGAAAGAGTGCAAAGGAAAAGACCATGTAAAACGAGAAAACAAGCTTACTGTATTTTTCATTAAATTAGCAACGCAAACGCAAACGTAATTCAAGTAGCTTAAACTGCACATTGCAATTGGGCACTGCACAGTTCTAATGCTGTTCCAATTAGACCACAAAGCAATTCGGCAATGCTACAAAAACTTATAAAAAGAATTTTATTTTAAACTAGCGCCCTCCTTTTAGGTCATATATTGGATGTAAAATGATAGAATAAAGATTGAAATACAAAATTTCCTAAAATCGTCTTTTTGACTATAGAAATCTCGCAATGATCAAATTCTCTTGAAGTCAATGGTATTGTGTAAATTTACATGATGATTTAAAGAGAGCTTTCTCTCGAATATCGATGCATTCAAATAACACAGACGAGCAATATCATGACATTAACAAAACTTAAAATTGGTAACCGAATACATCACATTTTTAATTTTTTAACATGGTGCTAATTTAGATTTTATCAAAAACATCAAAATTCTAACTGGCTGTAAATCAATGCGTCACTTTGTCTGTCAAAGAACCCATCTCTTTTCTCGCTGTCGGCCATTAGTAAAAAATGCCAATACAGTCAAGGGCACATACTGAATCAAAACACTTAAAATTCCATCCGCAATTATAACACGGTTTTTTAGGAAATGATCCCCCTCCCCGCTTTTGCTTGACTCGAAACACTGTTATTTGTTATTTACTAGATTCCAAAATTGCTGCATGGAAGCTACATATCTAAGAAAAATATTTAGCTAAGCGTAATTGATAACGCAGTGGTAGGTTTTTTCCATTGCAAGGTAAAAGAAGTTGAAACAATTAACGGGAAACACGATTTTTTGCTCAATAGAGCTCTTATATTTTCAGCGAGAAGGATTACTAGCTTTATTTAACGTTGCCAACAATTTTTGAGACTCCTCAGGAAATAAAATCAGAAAATGTCAAAAAGCACCGAAAAAAGTTGATAGCAAAGGCTTTCGAAGCACAGCTGTTCTAAGTATGTCGTAATAGAACTTTCGGATTGGCCAATCGTGCTCTCGTGTCGTCATTAAATATTTTAAAAGCTTCAAATTTATTCATAGCTAGCCTCACAGTGGTAAGGGCTCAGTATATAAAAAGGCTCTCAGGGTTCAACGACGCAAAAACGAACCGGTTGTCTGCAATCTTACACGGACACAAATACATAATACATGAAAAAAGACGAAAAACTGAAAACAGACAATGTGGAAGACAGTCTTTTATGTGTCAGTGCTAATCTTCGTGACAGTGAGTATTGACAGAATTTCACTAAGTCTAATTTTCGTTGGCACAAATCCTCCTAATACTTGCTTCTATTTCTATTTCAGTCGTGCACCTTTTCAAGCGCAAGAAGAGGTAAGACGGGTTTTTCCATTAAGCTTTTATATTAGCTTAAATAGTGAAATAATCGCTTTCATCTTCAAGACGTCGCATCACAGAAGCGCGAAATATACGGGCAGGTGTTTTTACCGGCGTTATTGCGTTTGTTTATTTATTTATTTGTTTCTTATCACTGCCAATAACATGGTAGATACAAAGGAAACAGCAGCATTCATAAATGGCAGGGAATACCCATTGCCTCTCACCGTTTAGAACGAAAATAGATGGCAAATGTTTTTCGTACATCATGAGAACAATTTTACGGTATATTAAACACAAACTTGGAGGTGAACAAAGAGTTGCGAAATGTTGCAAAACTATACACATGTCTTTAACACTGAAACCTACTAATTTCTTGATTGATAAGTTTCTCACACACTTTTCAACAACAAAATGCCAAAAATGAAAAGCATTTGTAACTCGTTCGTCATTTGGCAAAGTCTTTTGTACAATATCTACAGATCCAAATTTTAATAGTTACCTATATAAGTAAAGATAGCGCGCAGAAAACACTTTGTGATATATATATTTATATGAAATGTGAATAGGAAATGTATAAATCTAGGGGGGAAATTTCACTAATCCGACACTTTCTTACAAAACAAGGAGCTAATGTATGTTGTCTTTCATTACATTCAAATTAGCAAGGGTCCTTAAAAATTAAGTTCTCAATATTGGGGGAAATGATATCGCAGCGCCAAAAGCAAACACAAAGTCAATATCACACTCATTTTTACACGCAGAGCTCACTAGCAGTAATGCCAATGCAACAGCTGGAAAGTTCACAAAATTTCTTTCGAAATATAATATAAAACAAATTCCGAAGAAACAAGACATCTTGAGATTGCAAAATATGAATCAAAACAAGACGAGAAGTAAACTGTAAATTTTCGACTTTATTTCAAAGTCATCCTCAGACTGATTCTGTCTGAGGAGGACTTTTAAATAAAGGAAAAACAGTCAACTTGTTCATCTCAAGATGTCTTCTATTCTTCTTTAAATTGTCGGCTGGTCATGGTTTTCTTTCGAAATATTCGACAGTGTTCGATGATTGTTTCTAGCTAATTAATCCCTTTCCACGCATAGACGACAAACAATTGTCCGAATTATTCAAATTATCATCAACTTGTGACATTTGCATTTAATTTCAAATGTTTCCAAAGTCAAAGCCGTTTTCGCAAAAATTATAAGCTATCCAATTTCGATGAACTTTTAACTCGAGCTTGCAGTTTGATTGGATTGAACATATTCAAAACTGCTATCATGCTATCTTTCTCAATTGTGCAACTTGTGAGCAAGTAGATGGTTTTCATAATTTTCACAAGCTTTTCCAATATGTAAAGAACTGCATTAGGAGTAGGCCATAGTCTTGGAAAAGAATGCAAACGGCTATCGTTACTTGTATTTTTCTTTTGACTGCTCTTTGTGCTCAGGTAGCTAGGACTTTTATGAAACTGTGGTTTATTTGAACGCATAGTAGAATGTAGAGAACTCGATACAAAAGTAATCAAATATAAGATTTATCGTCCAACTTATTTTTCATGCGTACTCACGTGAAAATGTTACATTGTGCATACGTCATAGTGTAAAATGTGACGTATTTAATTACAATACACATGTTTTTATACAGCAGTAAAGGAGATACGATTGAGGTGTTATATTACTAAGAAAAGAGAAAATGTTAACTAAGTTAGATCAATATGTACATACGATGAAGATGACTACCGCTAAGGCCGTCGAAACGTTAGTCAACAACAACAAAAACAGTACTTCTCAGGACTATACCAACCTGGACGATCTACATTTACAAACATGTAATGTACATACCACCTCAGTAAAACTAGAAGTTTTTTAACCACAACAAAGGATGTTTGAGTGAAACGTGGCTATAACAGTTCCTTATAATGAACACCAGTTGGCACGACGAAGAAACGTAGGTAGCATTTTAGCAACCACAGCAGGATGCCAGCATCATGATTATTTTGTCCCTGATCGAGTTTGTCCCGAGGTATATGCAGTTAATAAGCTGTAAAGGTAAACGAATCAACAGACCACCATCTCTAGCTTTGATCGTTCAACTTGTTTCATTGTATTTGAAGAATTTTCGGAAGTTATGAACAATTCTGTTAGGTTTGAGGTAAAAAAAAGGCGCTCTAGTAAAAAAAAGACTTAACATAAAAGATATTATTATCATTGTGACTACTAGCTATAAATTGTTAAAAATATGGAAGAGATCGAGACTCTCCAATTTCAACTGAAAGCGTATTGGTTTACACAAAAAGCAAAGCGGAACTTAAGGATTTCACTGAGTTAATTAAAATAGTAAAGGATTAAGGATGCATCTAACATGAGTAAGATTGCTATTCTCAAGTCAATTCAAAAAGACAATGACGTGTGAATGATATTGCAACGAGATATGCGTTGATGTCATAAATCAACATGTTGCGGCGCTAGTTCAAAATCTCTGGTCAAATTGGCGAGCCGTGCCAAGCAGACAAATCAACATTCGTTTCGTTGTCCCGCCAAATCCACTCAGGTATAAAACGCAATTATGAAGAGAAAGAGATAGTCGATACCCTAATTTGAGCCATTTCTTTACATAGAAGTTTACGAAGCTATGTCGAAACGCTGTAAGATTTGTCTTTGCAAAGACTAAAAAAATATTACGCGTACATTACCGTGAAAAATCTTCCACTATTTTCCAGAAGCAAAAGAAACGCCGCAACAATTCTCCTTACGCTCTCTAGATTTGCGTAATAAGGTCATTTTTGCGTGTAGATTCCCATTGTGAAGCATAGTTCGTTGAGCCACTTATTTAATTAAATAAACCTTCATGAAATCTTTTGAGGCTGGCTGGCATGGTGATAATTTAGCCGCTAATTTAAGACCATTTAGCGTTTGTCTGCACTATCAGACGAAGAGCTAATACATCACGTGAATGGATTGGATTCCCACTAATATGAACGCCAGAATAAAGTTTTAAGCAAAATGAGTTCTGCTAAAATCAGTGCGTGTGATGTGAACAGTGTGGGTGTAAACGAACAGAAAAAGGGAAAACAATAGAAAATTTTGTCCGCATTGACAGTCCATTAAAACTAGTTGTAGGGCGAATGTTGCGTCCCTTACGAAAGCTGCTCCTGTTTCGTTTGGATCTGAGGAGGATGAATTACCCCATCGTTTAGAAGTAGTAAATATCTTAGTGATGGCTAAAGGTGGAACATCAGAAAGATAGTCATAGAAGTGAGAAATACGACAGGTCATGATATCAGACTAAAAGGGCATACTATCCCTGGTCTTCTTAAGATAGTTCAATCTCTTTGTCCAGAAGAGTTGGATCTAAAAGATAAGTTAAATCATCCATCCCCCTCAAACAAAGTCACCCCATTTAAAAATCAACTCGGTTACAGAAAACCACTGCCCATAGAGTTGTCAGATCATTTGAAAGCTGTAGATTTAGGCGATTTGAAACCTGAACAAAGAAAACTTGCGTCACAACTGTTATTAGAAGAAGCAGATAAATTCTCGCGGAACAACGATGATATTTGGGTCATCCCTAGCCTTAAAATGAAGATTAAATTGAATGACAAGACACCCATCCAAAAGAAGTACGTTCCTGTGCTTCGTCCCCTTTTATCCGAAGTGAAGGCTTACATAGAAGATCTTCTCAATTGTAGTTTTATCCGAAAGTCGAACTAGTCGTACAGCTTCCTCTTCGTGTGTTTAACGGAAGAAACATGCGAGTCTTAACCCACAATTTATGTACTTCATCCTTGCAACTATTTACCTGCAGATGAACACCACAAAATTCCTTAATGACCGGAAGTAACGCAAAATTTACGACAGCCACCACTACAGATCACATCTAAAACAGAACGAATGAAGGAAGAATGTGCCAAGATAGTGAGCAAGTCCTCAACTATTCAAATAGAGACAACACCTCTTCTCAGGATACAACACCAGTACTGGGAACTGATCTGTCCATGAAAATGCTCCTAACTCTCCACTTACACATGACCTAGTACAAAAGAAGAAATAGTGGCCAAACCACCACTTGACGGCTTGGTTGTTGATCAATATGAAAACCCTACGTGTGCTGATACCCCTATTGTACAAGAATGTCGTAAGCCTCGTCGCGCACGACGACTCCCAGGCGGTTGATGTACTATAAATCTATAGTCCTGGTTACCCTGCTGAAGTGTTTCCAGCAACTGCCCCATAATAGTTAAAAATAGTACAATACAAAAAACAATCGACCGTTGCTCGCAACCACTTAACAGCTGTTAACTGCCGTCTTTGTTCATCGAGCACAATTGCATAACCTTATATTATACCTTAACCCTCCAACCAAATGATGCCAGACGTGTCCGAGCTAACGGCAGAGGATAAAGAAGAATGAAATGCAATTATGTATAAATGATCCGGAGTATAGGATTAGTGGCGCATGTACCAAAAAATTGTGACTGTGTTCTTTGTCTTGGATTTTCGTACCGACTTTTAGGTGTTTATTTTTCATAAAAAAAAACAAAATTTTAGCTGGAAAGAATTTTTCATCCTCTTTTCGTTTTATGCATATTTGCTTCTGTGAAATATGGTAAAATTATTTATCTTAATATTCGTTTAAATATACTTCATCTTTGAGAGCTAAATGTTGTGATTATGAGAAAATGCCATCTTCAGTTAAGAAATAAGAGATGCTTACACTGTTTGCACTGGGTCTTACGCAAACAGGGAGACCATTGATCTGCTCAAGAGCTCTCACAAACGTCTACGATGTTTGCATAAGCAAGTGTAAACACGAATAAGATCTTTTATTTGTTTTATAAAAATAACAGCAATTCGAAACACTTGTTTTAATTTTCTTCAATATGTATTTGTAATATATTTGCAAATTCTTTAGATTTGATTTAGTTGATCGAGTTCAGATCGGTTTGTGATGAAAGCTCAGTGATCAATCAGCGCAGGCGTTTAATTGTTTTTGTTTTATAATATAAAGTAGAAAGGGTTAAGTAATATGACGCAAAACTTTTGATACAATAATTTTCATAAAACAGGGTCACTCTCAATAAAATTTTCGTTTTTATTTCATGTTGTTTCAACTTGTTGCTACTGAGGAAATATGAGACCAAACAAAGCATGCATATCATAAAAGTTTATGCAAGAACACAAATTTGAGGTTGCACTTTCTTAAAAAGGACACCACATTCAAAAATTGTCAGCGTCCAGACTCACAGACACCCATGGCTTCACAAACCTCAGTTTTCGACCAATTTCTGGTATGATTTTAAAAAAAAACTTGCAAACAGTCTTAAGCCGTTATTGCAAATCATTGCGCTACATAAAATAAATTAAAAAATCAATCACTTAATCAGACTCATTAAGCTCAAAATTAGATAAGGTATAGTAGCTATAGCTTTTGAGAGCAATTATGGATAAAACACCAGCCACAGTTTTGAAGACGGCAAGGAGTGTTAGCGTTAATTGTTTTCTTGGCTGGAAATGTTTTGCATATGCTAATTTCTGCCAACCATTGTAGCTGTTTTTCTTCACAAGAATTCCACTTTGAAATTTGATTGGCACTTATGATTACTTCCTTCTTTGACTAACCAGTCAGGAGCATTTTACTAAAATTTACACCGTTCAAAACCATTCAGAATTAATAATTTTATCATGTATATTATTATGCTTGAATTTGATGCATGAAGCAGTTAAAGTAGGAAAATGTTTTAGTAATCATGCTAGCATTCAAAAGAATGGAGTCGATATTAATAGTTTTCCTTAATTCGTTGTTTTATGCAATTACTGTTGTTGACAGTGTTTACAATAAAAAGTGAATGACTCTCCCACAAGATTTGGTTATTTTAATATAATTTTGGTTTATTCACCTTTAAATATATTAAAGTTGTATTTAATGGTATCTTTTGTCTTCTCTAGAATTGTTTTCTGAAATAAACAATAAAGTTCTGAAACCTGATTACAACACAAACGGAAGCCATGTTTTTGCCGTTCGCTGTCTAATTAATAAGAATAAGAATACTAGTACGATTCAACTTATTTCCATTAAAACAGGCCAAGCTCGTGGAAATGTGAAATCATTCGGGATGAGATCGTAAGACGACCCAACTCGGATAAAACTATTTACATTCCAACATGTGACCTAGACGGAACGTTTGCTAGAAAACAGTGTCGCTACCAGCCCACCACAGTAACTTGTTGGTACGTAGACAAGAACGGCAAGCCTATTGGTAAAAACAGATACACCCACGTAATCAGCACGTATAGCAGCACGAGAAAAAAGTCAATGACGCTAACACAACAGCAAATGACAAACAATACAAAGAGAACAATTCGATATAAAATAAGGGCGTCAAATAAAGAAATCGTCGAAACAAACCCGTTGATGGTAAAGACAGGAAATGCCAATATCAGTAAGGGCTCTTTCTCACTGTATATTTTTTCTCAAGTAAACATCCTGCATAGCAATTGTTGCTTTTGGAAAGAGAATAACCTAATTAAAACAACAAGGTCAACAAATGACTTAAGCCTGACTTCAATTAGAGAACTTTTCTCGCAAAGCGATAAATTTTGATATGAAAATATTCGTGAAAATGAGTATTTGTCTTCCACATGTAATAATAAACATGAAAATCACGAACAAACTAATACAAAATGTCTGTATCAAACACTAGCTAGACAACTGCTACTGCTTCAAAATGGCATGTTATAACTATTGTTACTGTAACGACGACCAGAACAAAGAAGCTAGTACAAGGAACGGTTCACCATACGTTGTTTATATGTGGAACGGGCTCTGAAAGAAGAATTTCCGTCTTCTCTTGAGAGAGCTTAATTTTTATGACCGGGGAAATGTTTTCATATGCATGGTTTGTTTTCTAATTGGTCTAAGAAACTTCTTAGTCAAAATGGTCGGTTCGCAGTGGTGTATATAGAGTGGTCAGATGGTATGAAAATTCTTTTTACAAGCAAATACCTCGAAAACTAAATAGGATAAAAAACGTCAACAAATCAGACTTACTTAAATCTGATTAGCTAGCAAATTTTTGCAGCGAAAAAGTGGAAATCATTCGAACTCAAATTTTCGTCTTGCTGAACAGCTTTCAAATTTCCTCGCCATGCTAGGTGACGTCGTTGAGTATCAGCGCATTTTTGAATTCGAAAAATTCGGGAAAGAGCGGACCAGAAAACTGACTTTACAACCCAATCTAGTAGAAGCATAACTCCGTCAAAATGCTAGTAACAACGACTCAGGCAAGCTGCCATCTTGAAAGGCGGCTAAAACTAAAGTAAAAAAGCTAATTGCATTAGAAAAGCCTAATAGAAGTCGAGATTTTATCGTAGACACGTGAGTGTAGTTTTCAATTTTCTCTGACGGGTTGACAATTGATTGAACTCGGTGTTTATTGAAAAAAATCGAAAAAGATATTTTCTTTCGCTTGACGTTGCATATTTGTGTTGAAATTTCATCAACATTGATCGGTAAAACAATTTGCTTCCTTCTTTGAACTGTAATAACGTCATAAAGACGACATTTATAAGTAAACCTGACTGAATATGATCATCAAAAGTAAGATTGTCGAATTGGAGTCAAGTGAAGTGCAAAGAAGGAAGCAATTGGTTTTACCGGTCAATATGATCAAATGTCGACTTTTTCGATTTTTTGCAATAAACACCGATGTCTTGTTGACTTTCTCTTCGCAAGAAACAGCAGGTTCAATCGATGGTTACCCGCAAGGGAGTCTTAAATGCAAAATACCCAAATTCAGCTGTCATATGACTTTAGCCACAGAGGCAGACAGGCCTATAAAGTCACGGGAAAAATTGTTTGGAATATGGTGCAGTTCTCAATAAACGGTTTGGACAGAATAATAATTATTTATTGTTTTGTTAGTCATCTATTTTTTGAGTTTTCTCTGTAACTTGGTAACCTTTAATAATTAATACTTAAGATAGCGGCAAACCACCACTTTTAAAAGCAACTGACTACAAATAGCCACTGGCTGCAACAGCCCCTCTTTCCATGTTTTTTTCTTTGAGTCAGGAAGAGGAAAATGCACCCCTGCTTGGCGTAACTGTAAAATGCAAACTTAGCCTAATAGCATTTTTTCGAACAGCCGTAAAGTATTTGACAAAATGCGAGAAATTACGAGAAAGAAGACTTCGTCAGGTCCGTCCTCCAATGATGATTCCGAACTGCACCAGAGATGGGGATTTTCAACTCGAACAATGTAATGTATACAAAACGAAATGTTGGTGCGTTGGAATGAATGGAAAGAAAATTCCTGGGACTAAAGTTCGCAACAAACTTCCGGAGTGCTATTTAGGTGAGTTTATGCTACTCAAATTTGTTATAAAATCAAACGCCCATCAGGCCTTCACTCAGTCTACTCGTGAATACTGCTTGGCTGTATTTGTGCAGTATAAAATAGTTGGCAAAAAGCACAATGAAATTCGCATAATGCAATTTCACATTCAGCAATGTATTATGTAAGTAAATCATGTCACGCGTGCAACGCTTTAAGAAACATTTTGATTGGTTAAAGGACTTTGTGTTAGTTACGTGTGCTTTATGTATCTCGTGACAACATAGGAAAATCTGAATTTCAGGCATTTAAAACAAAATATAACATGGAATTCATAGGAAAATCTGAATAATCTGCATTTAAAACAAAATATAACATGGAATTTCATCACATTTTCTTTTGTCTTTAACTTTAGCTTACGCATTGCTTACACAATGAAATAAATTAAAGTGACTGCTTAATTATGTGTCGCTTAACACAGATTGACAGTATTATTTGCTGCCCGGCATAAAAAGCTGGAAACTAATGTTGTTTGTAAATTCACATCATAGAAGTTGTCTTGTATAATTTTTTAATAAATAGATTTTTTATACATAGACTATTTACATGTGTAATGCGACGAAACATTGTGCTTTTGTAATTAAGTTGGCCCGTATATGCCACAGCTTCTCGGTAGAAATTTGCATGTACTTCATGCAGATCAAGTTTCTCCAAACAAATCTGACTGTTCTCTGTACAAACCATTGTACAAACATTACGTTGCTCAATGGAAAACGACATGCTCCACAAAATGTTAACCTTCGGCGTGTTGAAATGCCAGTGTCTTCTCTGCTAAAATTATCTTTCTCTATATAAACACACCTCCACTCGACAAAACTAACACCAGTGCAGAGTCGTGGTCACGGGAAGGGACAAAGCCCTGTATTTGTAAGAGTTGGAACACGTATTATTCTATGCATTTTGCATTATGATCAAGGTGATTGGGTAGATATGGTCAATTGGGCATCTAGCCGCCATTTTTGTTTAGCCGCCATGCTAACTTTTTTACATAGGAGATAAATTATAAAAAATGTTTTCAATGATTTTATGTTGTGTTATAATAGTTCCAATCATAGCGATGATGAAGAGAAACACACGCCCTCCCTTGTGGCAAAAAACAGTGTTAAAGGCGTACAATTACATCCACTGCATTAAATAAATGCTTTTCTATCATTATGACATCTATAAACAACCGAGTTTTAAAGGTAGAGGTCACTGTCTATTCATGAATAGGAAAACACAACAGAAAATTTGTCTTTCCACCATTAAATGCTTTATATTTGCTGGCGTTTAGAACAAAAATGGCGGACGCTAAGCAATTTTACTTAGACGTTGTCTCAACTCTCCTAATACAGGACTCTAAGAAGGGGGTAACTGAACGCAAAACAACTACAACACCATGATTAGCAACTTTTGTCCGAACTTTGAAAAAAAAGTATTTAATGTCAAAATTTTATGTTTCTTTCCGTGATCAAGGAGATAGTAATGATCAATTGTATATAGACAGTATGATTTTCGCAATTGATCATTTTAGCAGTTTACTTAAAGTGCCTATATTACCCTCAGAGAAAAAATCTATTTTGATAGAGTTGACCATTTTCAGAACATTTACAATATATTTTTGATCGTCCTTGACTTTTCGGGCGTCAAAATTGGCTTTTTTCGTCTTTACCCTAAGGTGTTGTGACTGGGTCTAGTTTACCGGACATGACGAACATTGGACAACCCGCTTTTTAACATATTCATATTGAAATTTGTAGAAAAGTCAAGAAATATATTTTCCTGAACTTAAGTTATATTGCGCACTTTGTTAATGAATCACTCTGTGATTTTACTGCGTAAAAGCAGCGTGCTCCCAATGTACCTCACGTTTGATGAACTAGACCCAGTCACAGCACCACACTGTCAAACACGAAAGAAACGAACTTTGACGTTATTAAAGTCAAGGAGGATCAAATTTTCGTCTCATAAAATATATTGCAAATATATTTAAAATAATAAACTATCTAAATAGATTATTCTCCTGATGGTGATATAGTCCTTTTAAGCCGGTTACCGTGATCGGCAAACTACAGTAGACAAATTAAAAGCAGTTAGGCCCTGACAATGATTGTGTGTACGTGTATTAGTTTTTGTGGGGCAAGAGCGTCCCGCAACTTCGTTTATACAGGGGAATATAATTTTAGCATGTAGAAGAGGTTTGCTGTGTGCTCGTAGCAACCTTAGAAGATATTACATTTGAACATGCAGAAGCTTGACATTTATGTGGAGCAAGTCGTTTTCCTTGGAGAAATGCTCAGTTTGTACGGAGTAGATTGACTGTTCACTCAATTTTTCGTACGGAGAAATTTGATATGCATGAGACAGATGCAAATTCCTTCGAAGAAGCTGTGGTACACACGCTTTTGAGATATTACAAGAAAAATATAGTGTTTAGCATGTTCTAACATGACTTCGGATCTGGGCTCTCCACCAATTTTTTAATTGACAGTCAAATAATAAATACATGAATAATTTCTCAATTCTGATTGGTATAAAGCACTGATCTCAAAAAAACTGGACAAAGCAACTGTATTTTTGTAGTAAATATATTTTAAAGCCACCGCCCCCTTTACTAATAGACCAACACATCCAAAGCTTTTTGACAAAACTATGGACAACATAGCAACATATGGCCAAATTATGCTTTGAAATAATGCAGAAAGTGAAAAACAACCTTTGTGGCGATAGTAAAGCGATTCAGAAGGAATAATAAGCCGTATAAAAGGAAAATGCATGTAGGTTTCATTCTGAATCACTCGTAAAAAAGGCTTGTAATTTTAAAGGATTGATCAGATTATGATCGTAAATGAGATTATTTAATCAGTTTGTACTTCTGAAATATGATTCCAACAATTCCAGGTATTTCCATGCAGTTGTGAGCTATTTTCCATAGTTTTTCCATACCACAGTAGAGTTACCGACGACAAAAATCGCGGCATTTTAAATATAATTCATCATATTTCATCATATTTTTAGCTTTTCTATAAACTGATTTATCTCTTAGTTATCTTCATGTAGTTACATGTTGAACTTTCAGGATTATTCACGTACAAATCCACAATACATTTGCTCCTTATTTTCGCGAGTTGGTCCCTTAGTAATGGCAGCGTTCCTTAATTTTTGTTTTCAATTTTTGTGCTAGATGCTTGATCCGGTCTTATTTCGAGATCAGTGGTATAGAGGCAGTGCGATTCTTATTTAATACCAAAGTAAAAATAAGAAACGTAGAGCAAAAACGAATGTGATGATTACTTGACGCGTGTAATTGTTACATACATCGCAGGGTTTAATACGGAATTTTCTTAACATAATATAGCCAAATTAAGTCCACCTCTGAGTCTCCGACACAACAAAAAACAATTTTAATATCAACCTGCGTTGAAAACTACAACACGTTCACAACCAATCAAAATGCACAAAGTACCTCACATGTATGGTTTCCGACTGCGTCATTCAGACAATAGCGATAAACATAAACATCTTGTTCTTTAATACTTATCACTTCGAAAAAATCAGAAAAATCCCAGGAAAAAAATTAAGTTAATTATTTACGTTAATTTTTAATTATATTAATCCACGTTTGCTTTGTAGACACTTGTGGGAAAAGATTCAGGAAGGGACCGTCACGTATGCGTCGCATCGTCGGCGGACGAGAGTCGAGCCCAGGTACATGGCCATGGCAGGCAATGATTCGCTCCAAACACCGAGGTCACATATGCGGTGCAACGTTAGTGCAAAAAAACTGGCTCGTCACGGCAGCTAGCTGCTTTGGTAAGGAACAAGACTTAAAATAAAACTCTCATGAAGAGCTAAGGATAAAGTTATTACAGTAAATTACTCAAATTAACTGTATATTTTAATGGTCGAGTTTAAAAAAACCACAAAATCTAATCAGGAAAAGTATAAAGCAACAACGCAGAAGGCTTTCTGGGTTTAGTCTTGCTTTTCGAGCATTATCGATACTCATTTCTTTGTAGAAATCCATTTTTTGCAGTGAGCGAGTATAGATACATTTTTTTGCCTAATGCAATGTGACATGCCCTCTTTATAACGATGTATGAATGAAGTCGTCTTCCACATTGCTCTTATCGTATCAAAACTATTTGTTGGGCATGCAATGTTAGACTAGCAAAGAGCAGGCCAGAATATTGCTAAACGTTTAACGACCACTGCATATTGATTTTGATTTCGAATCAATCTGAAGCATGTTTAATAAATTAGCTACAAATAGATATGCTTCAAAAATGCAATTCTCTGTTTATGCAGACAACTACACAAAGTGCATCAAGGAATGGACGGTAATACTGGGAGCACATGAACTAAACTCCAGCAGCAACACCAAGATAGGAATTGAAGCAATACACATTCATCCGAAGTATCAACCAGGAAAAGAAACACATCCTGGAGATTACGATATCGGTAAATGATGAAAATAGATGCATGGTTTTATGAAATGACTTTAAAACTAGAAAATAGCATTTCTGATGAAGACACTAAACTGGAGTACATAATAACTCAAGTTTCAACATCAGATCACTCCTGATGAAGACACTAGACTGGAGTATATAAGGACTCAAACCTTCACATCAAATCATTCCTGATGAAGACACTAGACTGGAGTATATAAAGACTCAAGTCTCAACATTAGATCACTCCTGATGAAGAAACTACACTGGAGTATATAAGAACTCAAGTTTCAACATCAGTTCACTCCTGATGAAGACACTAGACTGGAGTATACAAAGACTCAAGTCTTAACATTAGATCACTTCTGATGAAGACACTAGACTGGAGTATATAAGAACTCAATTTTCAACATCACATCACTCCTGATAAAGACACTAGACTCAAGTATAAAGGACTCAAACCTTCACATCAGATCACTCCTGATGAAGACACTAGACTGGAGTATATAAAGACTCAAGTCTTAACATCAGATCACTCCTGATGAAAACACTAGACTGGAGTATATAAGAACTCAAGTTTCAACATCACATCACTCCTGATGAAGACACTAGACTGGAGTATATAAGCACTCAAGTTTCAACATCAAATCCCTCTTGAGAAAGACACTAGACTGGAGTATATAAGAACTCAAGTTTAACATCAGGCCATTCTTGATGAAGACAGTAGAGTGGAGGATTTACGTTTCAAGAGAATATCTCTCATAAAGATAATAGACAGTATAGTATACGATTAAACTTAGAAATTGGAGATTTTCTTTCTTTCAGCTATACTGCAAATGTCAAGTTCGGCTAGAATACCCAGAGATATTATGCCACTCTGTCTACCGGAAAAAGGTTTTATACAAAGATGCTCCATCACTGGTTGGGGACGTACTTCCAATAGTGGTTCCTTATCAAAAGTCTTACGTGAAGCCTACGTCGATCTTGTACCTCTGGATAAGTGTAATGGAGAAAAGTAAGCAAGTTTCATCGTAATTCATGTGCTCATAAAATGGGCATTAATGTTGAAAAGAAAGATCATTTTCGTTTCAAGGGAGTTTTATTTGATATAAAAATAATGTAGAAATCGTGTCATAAGTACTTTAAGTAGACACATTGGTGAAGTAGACACAGAAAGAGTGCCTACCATATTAATTGACAAGATGACCTTTAAAAACACAGGCGTCAAAAAAACAGTGTTGTATTACTCTACGATAAACGAGAACTTTAGTCGCGCAGGAATCTCGCTGGTTGCGTGGTTTTTGCAGGAAATTTTAATGGCGAAAATATAAACAACATGCCATTAAAATCAATAAATTTATCTTTTAAATATTGTTTTTTGAAGTCTATTTTACAAATGATAGAAAACATATTTACTTTTTTTATTAGGTTATAGCAACACTTGTAAAAGTTGAGGAGAAACTCGAAAATTCTTGGAAACACTAGCACTACGAAATCGTGCTTGCAAAGCAGTTTTTCGTATCTTCCAAACTTTCTCTTGTGTTTCTATAATAGCGCGTTCAGACTGAGTGACGGAGTACGATACCTTGTTTCGGGCAAAAATCTGCAGGCCGTTCCCACTACGTAGTAGCCAATAGCTTCGTTTTTTATATTTTCATGTTGTTCATTGTAAATATGTTTGCTGAAAACCTAAACAAAAGGGAAAAAGCAAAAAATAAATACATCGTTTGCAGAAATAAATAGAAACCCATGCTTTAACTAGACATAAAAAATCTGAGAGGAACCACGATCTTTTTAACTCACAAAAAGTAATTTTTGACCTAGATCATATAATGGTACCATCAACGATCGCTTTGTATGTGCTGGATTTAAGGAGGGTGGAATTGATGCTTGTCATTTCGACACGGGAGGACCGCTGACATGTCCAATGAAGGGCGGCGCTTGGGGATTGGCTGGCATAGTCAGTTGGCGTCAGTCATGCGCACAGCCACACAAATACGGCTTGTACACCAATGTAAGAAAGGTTCAACGATGGATTGAGAAAATCATCACGTAATAAATAAGGTCCTAAAGAATCGCCACCATCATCATCGTGCTTTACGCCCCTGGTAAGGGCATGCCAAGGAAAGATTGACACGAGGAAAGGTTGAAGCGACCGCAATTGGAAAAATATTAGTTCTCTTTTTGCTTTGCGATAACATAGTTGAGAATAAAATAATGTAAATTAAACATACTCCGATGAATAAAAGACATCTTGCACACTTAATATATGAGTTAAATGGAAAAAAAACAATAACAAGATTTAACTTTTCCATTGGTGACATGTTGGGTTTTCGACCCTTTTTCATAATCATAGTCAAAACGAAAGTCTGGTCTTGACAACGATATTTAGAGATGGTTTAAAAGATATCTTTATTCAAAGACGTGTGTTTTATCCTATATTTTTTGAAATATAATATAAATATTTTCATATAATTCAATTAAAATGTAGAACGATTTGTACTATAACTGTCAAGTCTTTGTAAAGAACTTTGCCATGAAGTGCATATGTATTGTAGTTATCACGGACGGATTTGTATATTTTTTACAGGGGAAAACATAAAAGTTTTGATTTGGGGCGGGGAGGGTGACCTGGTAAATAATTGACGAAAGACGTTGTAAGAGTGTAGAATCGATGGCGGTCAGGTGGTGCAATTATCAAAGGTTGTGTAGAAACTTGAAATTTTCAGTACAAAAACAAGAAGTTCAACCGTACTAGTGACTTGTTTGGCAAAAATGGGGAAAGTTTGTTGGTATATATTATAAGTCAATCTGCTGTTTGGGGTGGAGCCCCCTGCACCTTCCTCATAGTAAATCCGTCAATGGTAATTATACAGCTATTTATTATAGTGAAACACATACATAGTGACATACTTTATAATTAAATGTAAGAATAGAGCAATTTAGTATCAATGATTAAATGAAGAATGCAGAATGATAACTACTACGTTTTGAAATCTTTGTCGAAATACACACAGTACGTGAAGTATTAATGAAAAGTTAAAAAATCGCAAATAGTAGGTTAAATAACAAAACAATAACCAAATAGCCCATAAAAGAACCATTTAAAACCAGAACTCTAAAACCAGTAGTTCTAAAAGAACTGTTTTAAAAGTTTCAAATTTTCATATAGCGACGTTGTTATATGAGGAATTTGATGTTGACCCAGACAAAGTGTCTACTTTATTACAACAGTATAAATAAATTTGGCATTAAACTATTGTACACCAATTTCAACCTTAATATTCACTAAGTAGTCCTCCAACCCTAGAAAGAGGAAGTTCTTAGAATAGCATGTATAGTGTATGTTATCTGCAAGGCAACGACTAGCGGAGCAACAGAGAGTGACATTGTTTCTCTCTAGAGTCAGATTTTCATACCCGAAGTTGATCCAAACAAAAACAAAAAACTCGTGAAATTTCGTCAAAGCATGTCGTATTTAACATAACTCATGGAATTTATTTCCCCTGATGTCAGTGTATTGAGCTCACTAACAAGAACAGAGATGTTATGTATTGAAAAGATTGTGAATGACTGAACTTTCCAGCCACAGATACCTCTATCATCAACAACCATCTGAGCAAAAAATTTATGGTGAAAGTAATAAAATTATGTCTTTTCTTAATTGGTCGTAATGCCTTGATTCTAATGCAACAGTTTTGAATTTTTCACAAGCATATTCTGTCATGTTATCATACCAATAGCGCTCTGCAAAGTAAACAGTTCCATCAACAACTACTATGATTCATCGCCATTATTGCCTTAGAACAAATACCAGTATCAATATAAGCACAAATACTAGCATCAGTAACCGCGCGACAAGGAAATTCTTTAAAATGTTCGAGGTATAGACATCGAATGCATAGAGCCACCAGCCCAGCAAAAGTTGCTTCTTCAAAAATTTCATACACACGAGTTCCCCATTTTAGAAGAGGAAGTGAAAAAACAACTAAGGAAAGAAATAATAACAAAAGTTTATTACGAAACAAGACCATATATCTTGGGTGTATTCCTACGCCACGTTTTTCAACGGGGACTCAAACACTCTATTGAATTTTTTGGCTCAATGTATGCTGCAGGAAATGACTATAGTAACGTAAAAACTGCCCACTCGGAACTACAGTACTGGCCTGTATAGACAGTTTAAAGTCGGTAAACATTCATTGGTGTGACGATGCATGAAAGGTGTTTTTGAGCTGAAACCGTCTTTGTCCAGGTATTCCAAAATTTGGGACGTCAAGGTAGTTTTGGATTATTTGAAAACATTTGACCATGTTCCCAAGATGCCCACAACAAGAACTTACATGAAGCTCCCCATGCTACTATGTCTCACTATGGGTCAGAAAGGACAGACCATTTAAAAAATATTTCTTTAATGTACCATTTAACTTTTTCTTGCTTCGTTACTCTCGTTCCAGAAAAGCCTTCTTACGCGGCCTAACTTTTAAAACATTCACCTTAAAAGCAATACTTGCTGTTTTGTTTTTCTTGAATTTCAAGATTGATGCAACTATCTCCCTCAATCTGTCTGATGGAAGAGCAGCAAGCTCATTACACAGTAAATACAGCTCGCGTTTTCGGCAGATCTGGAGCAGACAGTAAATAAATTTTAAGGCATTAGTGCCAACAAACATTGGAAAAACGAACAGGGAAGAGAAAAACCGAACCAATTTGAAACATAATGTCTTCATCAATAGAAAATGAAGTGTTAAGTATACCCCTGTCCTCTACAGATAGTGTGCAATTTATAGCAGGCAATATATCTAACCATCTAGAAACCTTGAAACCCAAACTAACAAATTTCGTTTGTGAAGAGCTAAAAAATATTTATAATGAAATAATGAAACTTTTGAATAAGAGAGTTGTTGTTGAAACAACTTGTTGCCCAGGGCAATTTATATCTAACATTTTGCTCGTCCGAAAGAGATGGTGCACACATGCTGGCCCTAAATTTAAAAAACCTAAATAAACACATTGCTTATCACCACTTTAAAATGGAAACCTTATAGAATGTCCTTTATTTAAACAAGCCTAACTCTTGGCTAGCTGTAAATGATCTTAAGCATGCCTATTATTCTGTGTCCGTTTGTAAAAAGCACAGGAAATACTTGCGATTCCAACACAATGGCAAGTTATATGAGTTTTAACCCTTCCAAATGGCCAATCAAGTGCTCCAATAGTATTTACTAAATTTTAAAACCTGTTTTTTAAAAAATAAGAGGTGAAGGCATTCTGCTATTTGGCTATATAGATGATATCATCTTAATAGCTGACAGCCGTACAACCCTCCTAGATCACATCCATAAGTCTACTGGATTATTGAAGTCTTTGGGTTTTACAATACATACTGATAAGTCTATGCTAATACCCAATCAAAGGGCTGTCTTCCTCGGATTTATGCTCGATATTGTGGCCATGATTGTAAATATGAAGGATGCAAATGCCAACAAAGTAAAATCAGCCATTCTAATTTTAGTTCATCAGGACCAGCCAAAAGTTTGAGATGTATTAGTGGTTGGCCTAATGCTTTACAGTTTTTCAGGAGTTAGATATGGGCCTTTGTATTACAGAACACTTGAAAATAAAAAAACTGACATGCTTAAAAGTGATGGGGGAAAACTTTGATAAAATAATGGTTATCGCCTCTCAAGGCATAAGTTGACATTCACTGGTGGCTTTTTCATGTTGACAAGGACCATAGTTTTCCCACCAAGTGTAATTACCTTAAAGTGTGACAGTTCACTTAAAGGCTGGGGTGCTGTCGTTGGAATTCTACTCACACGCCAAATGGTAGATGCACTACCCTGTAAGTTGAAGTTTGATGAAAATTCTACCACAGCATTTGACGCAAGGACGAGATCACATCCCTCCCGTATGCTCATCTGCTGTTCCTGTCCCACACTACAGAGTAAAAGATTTTACTCGGCTTTAAACACTGAACTCGAAGCCAAAAGGCGTGCTTCTCACGTGATCTCCTCCTTGCGGCAAATGACTTGGTAGAATTTCATCAAACTTCAACTTACAGGTAAGTCTGGTTTAATCTCCAATCATATTTCCATTTACAGATGCTATGCAATCAGCAAACTAATCTAATGAAAGGGAGTCGTGTTTCTCCGTTGAAATAAAAATGACAAGCAAATAGATCCCCTACCCAATAGAAATTTCTCACATAAATAAAATGATCACAAACCTCTTTTTGGTACTTTGGTAAAGTTAAACTGGTCAGCATTGTATGGTTGGTTTAGACTGGATATATTTTGAGGAGGACGTCTCTGAGTAAATCTTTTCTCGTTAAACTAAAAAATAAAAATAATAAAGGAGTCCTTTCATCAGTGTTGTTGTTGATTTGCATTTTCACGCCATTTACTATTATATGTGCCCACAGACTTCATGGTCAAGGCAAAATGGCTAAATAAACTCTAGCTAATTATCTAGTTGATCTTTCATGTGGTCCGATGTGAAGTTCTTTCGCTAGAAGAGGTTAAAGATGCTGAGCAAGGGGCTGTTTACATGACCTTTTCAGGAAGGGCTAGCCCTCCTGTATATTTTACCTTTGTTTTCGGTGCAAATTCTAGCCCTACATCAAGAGCTCAACTTGAGCAGCGAGTTTGGGCGCTAAAATACAAAATGGATGAAAACAAACCAAACTAGTTATTGCTTTTTTACTTATTTACGCTTTCTTTGTGTGTAAGCTCTCGTTGATGCCATTTCTTGCCGCTATTGCTAAAAAGCAATGCCTTGTCATAAGCAAATTCGTTAAATTTTGAGCCCTACAGGGAGGGCTAGCCCTGCCTCTTTCGTTTACATGGAGAATTTCCAGCACTACTTGGCGAGGTCTCGGGTAAACAACAGCGAGATCTCAGCTGGTGGGGCTAGCCCTCCTCTAAAGATCTTGCTTTTTTAGGATTATCCCTCCTTATAGGGCTCGTGTAAACAGCCCCTTACTCAACGACGGCACCTTTGAGCTGCACTAAAAAGAAATTCCAGAGTCCTCTAAATATACATTCCTTGGCTAAACAGCAGTTTGTAGTTTGCCGTTTGATTTGCAGGTTTACCACATGGAAAAATTCCAAAGGTCGCTTGCCCCAGACCCTACTCGAGTGACCTCAATTTTTCACACTTGGAACTCACGCCCAGCAGTTAAAATATTTTAATACGGGCCTGTAGATTTCCTAGTGGAAAGTAAAACCAATTTGCATAATACGTGGGTTTGAAAAATAGCGAAAAGGTTCTCTGTTTTCTCTGAATCTTTTGAGTTAATTTATTCAAAATTTCACTATACAATTCAATTTGCCTTCATGAATACCAAAATTTCATCAGCTTTAGCAAACATCAAGCAACATTACTTATAATAGTGGTCAATGGAAAGCTGTGCACCTGAAAAAGACACAAAGGTACATAGTCACCACTACACAATATTTCCCATAGCAAGGTATTTATATGAATAACTTGAAAAACGCCAGAAAAATTAAACAATGTATAACATATGTATGTGACATTATGAAAAACTTTTGTTGCCCAAAAATATATAATCCTTGCAGTGCCACTGTTGAGAACAAACTATATGTTAAGATTATCATTACCTGAGCAACAAAGTTATATTTTCAAGCAATAATTCGCCTTTCAACTGACTCCAGGTTGTACTTGAAACATCCCAACAACATGGCATGATCCCATCTTGATAATAGTTCATTATCAAACTATAACACGGTAATGAAAATAATAGTGTAATACTAATAATAACAAATTTAATATCTATACTGTTATAATGCATTATGTTTTTATTGCTATATGATAAACTATAATTTTTATGATAGTGAAATTATACAAATGAGTATCATGGTATAGTGATTTTAGATGCTTTTATTCCCTAACAATGAAAAAGTGCCATGCAAAGTTTGATAGTTAGAGCATTATGGTGATGGCTTTGGCAGGGACAGATTTTCCTGGGGTGCACACACCCAAATTCTCTAGCCTCACCCAAAGAAAAATTCTAAAATGGTATAATAGTGCAGATCATTATTACAATAGTATCGGAGTTTAGGAAATTGGACATTACGACAGAGTGAAAAGTCGAACTTATCATCTCAAAGGAAATTACATATTCTATACCATCCCTATTTGCAGTTGAGTCACTACGTATCATGTGTGTTTTTATTGAAATATCAAAATTGAAATAAATATCTATGCATTCATTAACAAATAACGTAAATTTTTCTAAAAAGCTAATAACACATTCTTTATGCAAGATTCACCATCTGTAAGCATAAAAATCTACAATAGCCCGAAATAGCCCAAGGCCACTTTAGCTTGGACAACAAAGCCCCTGTTGACATATCTGAACCAGTCCTGTCAAGTGACCATTGGTCCGCCCCTGGGCTTTGGGAAGGTTGTTGGTGCCATAAAACTTCAATATTTCTTACATAGAAAGACAATGAGATGATTTTGTTACAAGCTGCTTGAATTTGCAGAAATATAATAAAGTATTGGATTGGCATAAATTATGTCTCAAACATAAGACATTGCTTGGTAAAAAGCGAAATCAACCTATGAAAGTCTATTTAAGTTACTCAAAGAATTTTGTTTTGGTGAGTTTGTGGAAAGTTTATTTGACTCTTTAACTTCTATTTTTATAATAGTACTTTCAATGTTTTATTTAAAAATGCAGAGATTCAATTTGAGCACATAAAACCAGACACAATAAAACAAATGAAGTTGTTGCAGGGATGGACCACCATGACCTGCTCCAGGAATGGTGTAAAATCCATCAATGATGTCCTGGTAATGAGAGAAAGTTATGAAATATTGCAGACATTTTCCTTATTATATCATTTATTCCAAAACATGGTAATCGTGTTGAAAATGCAGCAACATAAAAAAGTTGAAAATTTTGGCCTGCATCATGAATTCTAAACCATAGTCTTTACAACAAAAACAGTTTTCTGTCCACACAATTTAAACTATTATATAAAAGCAAAGTTTCATGAAATATAACCAAAGATCTGCTAGTGTGCCAAATTAGTGTGCACGGACATGGTCATGTAGGGTCTTTTTTAAGTTACATTTATTTAAATGAGGTTCATAGGAATAACAAAATAACTTGTATCAACAAAATAAAAATGTGGTTGAATATGAACAATTTTAAACAGTCAGTCTTGAGTTCTTCACACAGTAGAAACATGAAAACCTTTTTTTACTACAAGAATCCTCCATTGTATTTCAAGCGTAACAAACATTACAAATTTTGTCAACTTGAAAGGTGTCATTCTAAAATTAAAAGTTTACATATTTCGAAACATTTAGTACAAGAGTTTATTAAAATACCTTGGTAAAAGCGTCAAACTTTGAAAATGATAATCACTATCTTCATAGGAAAGAGCAAATATCTCGTATGTATAAAACATAAATATTTAGGAGTAATTCTCACACTCTCTGTCATTAAACATCTCACCTTTGTACAATTTTCTGCCATTTTTTTGAAGAGCGTCATGTAAGTAGGAACATATGATAGTTAACTTCCAGGGGGGAGGCTGTCAATTTATTTAAATATGGTTGGTAAGTTTCTTTTGCAAATCAAATTCATAAATCTTTCAAATTAAATACGTACCAATAAATACGATAGAGTTTTCATGAGTAACTCTGCATTCCATTCCTTTTCCAACTTCGACAGACTTTGACATAATTAGAATGCCAGTCGGGCACAGGGCGGATCCAGGATTTTTTTCTTGTTAGTCAAAATGGCCGGAGGCGTTCGCTGCCTATGGGGCATCCGGAGGCATGAACCCCCTGAAATGGAGCTTTTCAAAAAATAGCTTAAGGCTTTGGAATTTAAGCCGTTTCGCTCAATATCAGAGCTCATCAGCATGCATACGATGGAGTTGATAAATGCACTTTCTATTTACTGTAGCATCCGACATGGACGGCCAGGTCTTTGCAAACCCAACCTTAAAAAATTCTTTACGATGAGCCACGATAATAAGCAGTTGTGAGCATGCTGATTATTACTGAAATCACACCATCAAAACACAAAACATGCCTTAAGTCCATGACAAACGTGGAATGTAGTACACAGATCCTGCAAAATTAGAAGAAAAAACAATCTGCATCTTTAAGCAAAACAAAGTACAGGTTTTCCAGTACAATACATCATATCAAATAAACTTGGAGTAAAATAAAAAACGCTTATGCTGGTTGAAGCATCTGATGTGGTAATTTCTTTTCAAGCAAGATGTAAATTGTTAGAAGTGAGAACTGTCGATATAAGTTAATGTTTTATGTAATGGAATGAAATGGAGTGAAATAAAAAAGTTTCTCTCTTTCAGCTAAAAGCCAATTCAATCTTCCCCTTATCTTTTGCAAAAAAAAATGAATAACTTTATGAATATCCAACTCTATGTCATTGTGAATGTAAAGCAACGCCAAACCATTTAAACGAGTCTCAACCATCGTACTTCGACTCAGGGGCGGATCTAGGGTATGTCAAATCAGTCACGCGACTGATGTTTATAGTTCAAAAGTTATTCATCAAATTTAATGATTACAATTTTTTGTGATCATTGAATTCCCGATGTATGATCGTATGAATGTTATTGTCAAAATTCAGTTTTATATCTAAAATCTTACGTAAATATTACGTTAGCAAACAAATCAGTACATTTTAGCATATCTGCAATTATATTAAATAACTGTATTATATAAATGAATTATATTATATAATTATATAACTGACTGACTGATAAGCGGGGTGGCTCAACTGGTTCGACCGAGAACGGAGTTCAAGAACACTAATTTAAGCCATTCCATTGGTCAATAGCCAGACCAGTGGACGATCTGGAATAATTTCGACTAATAAGCGGGGTGGCCGATAAGGGAGTCGACCGATAACGGAGTCAAATTGCTCTCGTGTAATTGGTTCGCTTAAATTTTTGTCTTACTGTGATTGGTTTGACTGATTTCGACTGATAGCAACTGAGCTAACACAGTCATGCTTACTGTCTGAATTGAATGTTTGATCGTTTTACAGTCAGAGCCACCAGAGAAATTGAGGAAAATCTTTTACAAATTCATATATTGACATGAATGCTGCTGTCCAGACTGTGAATTTTTTCAACAGGGTGAAAAATTTATGGATGAATTGTAAATGTTCGTGAAGACGATCTCGCCTCGCGACGCGAGAGATATTCCAGTCACTGATTTTGAAAAGCAAGCCATCATTGTTTAGAGATTGCTCAGCAGAAATTTTCACCCAAAATCGTAAGTAAAGGATAACTGAAGGGTATGCATGACTGTAAAATATCAAAGTCAATTTATGCGAGTATGTGATGTGATTTATGTAAATGTGGCGTATGGCATGCAGATTGTCCTTCTATAATCGTTGTTGCCGAAGGACTTTTAGCTATGGTTTCTTTGGTGCTTGGGAATCTTGGCCGTAATATGGCAGCGAAATCCTACATTCTTTCAAATGTATTTCATTAGACAAAAATCTGTAGCCATAAAGTGCCATGTTACTATATCCCAGTGGCGGATCTAGGCTATCTCAAATTATTTATCAAATTTAATGATTACAATTTTTTGATCATTAAATTTTTGTTCTGTAATCGTTTGGATTTCATCATCAAAATTCAGTTTTATGTATGAAAACTTGTACAAATACCAGATTTAGTAAACAGATCAGTAGATAAAACATATCTAGAATTATATAACTGGCTGACTGATAAGCGGGATGGCTCGACCGATAACGGATTTCAAGAACGCTTATTTAAGCCATTCCATTGGTCAATAACCAGATCAGTGGACGATCTAGAATAATCTCGACCGATAAGCGGGGTGGCCGGACCTATAAGGGAGTTCAATTGCTATCGTGTAATTGGTTTGTTTAAATTTTTGTCTTACTGTGATTGGTTTGACCGATTTCGACTGAAAGCCAACTGAACTAACATAGTCGAGATCACTGTCTGAGTTGAATGTTTGATCGTTTCATAGTAATTTTCTAAAGCATGATAGAAACTAAACTACAATCAGATGCAATTTATGGAAATCTTTTACAAATTCATATATTGACATGAATGCTGCTGTCCAAACTGTGAATTTTTTCAAGAGGGTGAAAAATTTATGGATAAATTGTAAATGCTTGGCAAAGACGATCTCGCGAGCAACATTTCAGTCATTGATGTTCAAAAGAAAGCCAACATTGTTTTGAGTTTTATCAGCAGAAATTTACATCCAAAATCGTAAGTAAAGGACAACTGAAGTGTATGCATGAATGTAAAATATCGAAGTCAATTTATGCGAGTATGTGATGCGATTTATGTCAATATGGCGTATGGTGAGCAGATTGATGCTTCTAAAATTTTTCTTGCCGAAGGACTTTTAGCTATGATTTGTTTAGTGCTTGGAGAATCGTGGCCGTTATATGGCAGCGAAATCCTACATTCCTGCAAATATATTTCAACAGACAAAAAATCTGTAACCATAAGGCGCCATACTATTAATTATTTTATCGTACACAAATGTTTGGGCTTCTCAGTTTATGATCATTGATCATTCAATCATTGGACTGTTATATTACACATTGTTTAGGATTTGAGAAAACTAACATTGATTACATGAGACACTGTTTACTATAACTTGTGATTTTGAGTATTTTGATCCATGAATCTCTTTATTTTGACAATTTGATGGAATGGTATTAAACCTGAGTATTTCACAATTCACATACATGAAATGTTTTCCCATGTCACATATTGTCCCCTTTTCTAACTGAACACCTCATGTAGAGATGCCAAGGTGTGTTGATCTACAGCTCATACCAGATTGTTTGCAATAAATTCCATAGGGCTATTGTCGGTCAAACCAATCACAGTAAGACAAAATTTAAACAAACCAATTACACGATAGCAATTGGACTCCTTATAGGTCCGGCCACCCATCTCTCGCGTCGCGAGGCGAGATCGTCTTCACGAACATTTACAATTCATCCATAAATTTTTCACCCTGTTGAAAAATTCACAGTCTGGACAGCAGCATTCATGTCAATATATGAATTTGTAAAGATTTTCCTCAATTTCTCTGGTGGCTCTGACTGTAAAACGATCAAACATTCAATTCAGACAGTAAGCATGACTGTGTTAGCTCAGTTGCTATCAGTCGAAATCAGTCAAACCAATCACAGTAAAACAAAAATTTAAGCGAACCAATTACACGAGAGCAATTTGACTCCGTTATCGGTCGACTCCCTTATCGGCCACCCCGCTTATTAGTCGAAATTATTCCAGATCGTCCACTGGTCTGGCTATTGACCAATGGAATGGCTTAAATTAGTGTTCTTGAACTCCGTTCTCGGTCGAACCAGTTGAGCCACCCGCTTATCAGTCAGTCAGTTATATAATTATATAATATAATTCATTTATATAATACAGTTATTTAATATAATTGCAGATATGCTAAAATGTACTGATTTGTTTGCTAACGTGATATTTACGTAAAATTTAAGATATAAAACTGAATTTCGACAATAAAGTTCATACGATCATACATCGGGAATTCAACGATCACAAAAAATTGTAATCATTAAATTTGATGAATAACTTTTGAACTATAAACATCAGTCGCGTGACTGATTTGTCATACCCTAGATCCGCCCCTGAGTCGAAGTACGATGATTGAGACTCGTTTAAATGGTTTGGCGTTGCTTTACATTCACAATGACATAGAGTTGGATATTCAAAAAGTTATTCATTTTTTTTGCAAAAGATAAGGGGAAGATTGATTGGCTTTTAGCTGAAGGAGAGAAACTTTTTTATTTCACTCCATTTCATTCCATTACATAAAACATTAACTTATATCGACAGTTCTCACTTCTAACAATTTACATCTTGCTTGAAAAGAAACTACTACATCAGATGCTTCAACCAGCATAAGCGTTTTCCATTTTACTCCAAGTTTATTTCATATGAAGTATTGTACTGGAAAATCTATACTTTGTTTTGCTTAAAGATGCAGATTGTTTTTTCTTCTAATTTTGCAAGATCTGTGTACTACATCCTACGTTTGTCATGGACTTAAGGCATGTTTTGTGTTTTGATGGTGTGTCTTAAGTTGATTCTCCATTAACCACACCCTAGAACCTTGACGAGATACTGTGTCATCTTCTGGACCACTCAGCAAGATGACATCTTTTGTGAATGGACCTGCAACTCCTTTATCTTTTTTCCTGCCTCTAGATGTTGTCTGAGGAAAATTGTGCCTGAGTCTAAAGCGTGGAGTGCTCATAGTAGCAGTTGCAATAGATTGTTGCGTTTGGCTAGCAGCAGATAAGGGACTGGTAATGGAAGGGCTTGATCCCCTGAATATTCTTGAAACTTCACTGTTAGTACTGGTGCTCGTACTAGCCTGAAAACAAAATAAAAGATAAACACTGAGAATATCACACAGCACAGATGATGTGGAGGTAGGTTTCAGTCAATGACATTGATATCATGAACTTCATCAGTCATTTATTTTTGGCAATTATCAAGACTAATTTATGTGATATGTACGGCAGCTCCATTAGAACGATAATTGATATAGCTCTGATATGTCAATACACTGATATAGCTCTGATATCTTAATATTAAGATACACCCTCCCTCGATAGTTATTCAAGGCAAACAGATTGTTTTTTAAATGCACTAGGTAGAGATATGAAGTCATATAATGAGTACAAGCAGCCAAAACTGATACCTAAATATATGTATGTAGAAAAATTGAAACACAGAGCGTACCTGATTTTGAGTGGTAGTATTAAACGGAACAGAGCTTTGTCCATTGTTTTGTAGTTCACGGCCCAGTCGGTTTATATTTGCCAAAATCTGTTCTATTATTGCATTCATGTCTTTTCTGTTATCACTATGGTGCACGTGCAACCTTGTGACGGTGTAATTATTGAATACAACATAATAATAACGCGTGTTCTGATTGGTCGATGCCATGCATAGATCAGGCCATGTCGTTAAAAACAAATAGGATTTTTTGCAGAAAGTTACATTCTGGCGGTGTAAATCCTAACTAAAAATCGGTGATTTTCCCAAACTTTTAAAGGTGATATCATCACAGTAATTCCACGTTTTCGTTGTTGTTGCTTCGTTGTTTACTAAATTTTACGTCTTCGTTCGCGTGGGAGAATTTAACTTTCGTATTTCCGGTTATTTAAAAAAACTTGCAGCACTATCCTCTGGTGCTAATTGCATAAAATAAATACTAAATGATTTCAAGTGCTTAGTTGGCCCGATCCAAACACTTGGGAATGTTCCTCGAGTGAAGAAAAATGGTGAAAAATCCTAAAACTGTTTAGGTTGACGGTCAGTCATTTTGTGTTGAGAGTTGCCTATCTTGTCTAATATAACATATACGAAATAAACTAAATTAAGAGAAAAAAACTCTACGAGGCGTTTTCTAAGCTATAACATACAATCATACCAACACATTTGCTATTTTATACATGTAATGTTATGTGAAGTGAAACTGTTTGCTAACGTGGAACCCACTCACGCGAGATCACGCGCGTGACAAACAAAACTCGCCTGCGAGAATTGAAAAACTCGCCTGCGAGAATTGAAAAACTCGCCTGCGAGAATTAAAAAACTCGCCTGCGAGAATTGAAAACTCGCCTGCGAGAATCTCGAACATGTAAATTTAATTTTCAATTATAGTATTTTTTATCTCAACAGTATTAAAAGTCGATTGAACTATATTATTGCACAACTGAGACCCATCTACGTAATTCGATAGACTTTTGGCAGTATCGGCTTTCCATACCAAAATCGCCAAAACACCAATATATTGCGAGATGGGTTCTGCGAATACACTAGTGAATTTCTACGCATGCGAAGAGCTATCCCATGATTTTTAGCTCATCTAAAAGCTCTCGACGAGCTCTTTCGAATGAGCTATTCAAAAACCGCCGTAACTCCAATATTTCGCGAGATAGGTTCTGCGCATGTGCGAGCAAACTTCTGCGCATGTGCGAGCGAACTTCTGCGCATGAGCAGTGCTATCTCCTAATCTACTGGTGCTACAGCAATGATCTTCAGCTTATCTGAAAGCTTTCGACGAGCTCTTTTGAATGAGTTATTCTAAATCGTTGTAACTACAATATTTTTCGATATAGGCTCTGTGCATGCGTGAGTGTATTTCTGCGGATGTGCAGTGCTATCTCCTAAATAACTAATGCTATGGCGATGATCTCTAGCTCATCTGAATGGTCTCGAGGAGCTCTTTCGAACAAGCTATTCAAAATCACGGTAACTCAAATATTTTGCGAGATAGGTTCTGCTCATGCGCAGTGCTAACTCCTACACTGCTGGTACTACGACGATGATCTTTATCTCATCTGAAAGCTCTCGATGAGCTCTTTCGAATGACCTATTCAAAATCTCCGTAACTCCAATATTTTGCGAGATAAGTCTTGCACATGCGTGAGCAAATTTTCGCGCATGCCCAATTCTATCTCTTAAACTACTGATGCCACTGCGATGATCTTTAGCTCATCTGAAACCTCAGGACGAGCTCTTTGGAATGAGCTATTCAAAATCGCCGTAACTCCAAAATCTTCTGAGATAAGTTCTGTGCATGCGCTAGGGCTTATCTGCGCATGCGCGAGCTAATTTCTGCATATGTGCGAGCGAATTTCTGCGCATGTACAGTGCTATCTCGTAAACTATTGGTCCTACGACAATGATCTTTAGCTCATTTGAAAGCTCTCGAAGAGCTCTTTTTAATCTGCGCATACGTGAGCTGGTTTCTGCGCATGCGCAGTGCTATCTCATAGAATACTGGTGCTATGGCGATGATCTTTAGCTCAACTAAAAGCTCTCGACGAGCTCTTCCGAATGAGCTATTCAAAATCACTGTAACTCCAATATTTTGCGAGATAGGTTCTGCGAATGCGCGAGCGTATTTCTGCATATGCACAATTCTTTCTCATCAACTACTGGTGCTACGGCGATGATCTTTAGCTCATCTGAAAGCTCTCGACGAGCTGTTTCGAATGAGCTAATCAAAATCACCTTAAATCCAATATTTTTTGAGATAGATTATGCGCATTCCTGAGCGTATTTCTGCGCATGCGCAGTGCTATCTCATAAATTACTGGTGCTACGGCAATGATCTTTAGCTCATCTCAAAGCTCTCGGCAGGCTGTTTCGAATGAACTATTCAAAATGGCCGTAACTCCAATATTTTTCGAGATGGGTTCTACGCATGCGCGAGCGTATTTCTGCGCATGCACAGTGCTATCTCCTAAACTACATATAATATGGCGATGATCTTTATCTCATCTGAAAGCTCTCGACAAGCTGTTTGGAATGAGCTATTTAAAATCGCCGTAACTCCGATAATTTGTAGGATAGATTCTGCACATGCGCGAGCGTTTTTCTCCTCATACGCAGTGCTATTTCCTGAAGTACTGTTGCCACAGCGATGATGTTTGGCTCATCTGAAAGCTCTTGACAAGCTCTTTGAAATGAGCTATTCGAATCGCAATAATTACAATATTTTGCGAAATAAGTGCTGCACGTGCCCGAGCGTACTTCTACGAAGAGGCAGTGCTATCTCCCAAACTACTGGTGCTTTTGCGATGATCTCTAGCTCATATCAAAGCTCTTGAAGAGCTGTTTTGATTGAGCTATTCAAAATCACCGTTACTTCTATATTTTGCAAGATGGGTTCTGCACATGCGCAGTGCTTTCTCATAAGCTACTGGTGCTACGGCGATGATCTCTTGCTCATATCAAGGCTCTTGAAGAGCTGTTTCGATTGAGCTATTCAAAATCGCCGTTACTTCTTTATTTTGCGAGATGGGTTTTGCGCATGCGCAAGCGTATTTCTGTTCATGCGCAGTCTTAAGTCCTAAACTACTGGTGCTACGGCGATGATCTTTAGCTCAAATTAAAGCTCTCGACGAGCTGTTCATATGGAGCGCCGAACATATCTTTATTCGATTTATTTAATATATCTGAATCTTCAATTAAAAATATTCTATATTGGATTTAAAATATTCCATATGGATTTAAAAATATTCCATATGGATTGAAAAATATTCCATATGATTTAAAAATATTCCATATGATTTAAAAATATTCCATAGTACTCCAAAGTTTCATAATATTCGTTTAAAGTTTTACCTGTCGCCATCTTGTTTTATTTGTGAAACTGATGACAATGTAGCAAAAATTGCGCGTGCACGGTTACATGTTAACAACTACTATCATGTAATATCATTTATAAACTACTATTATATTATATTATATAACTAAGCATTCCATATTTTTATATTTTAACTTTAAAAATCTATTTTGAAATGTCATTACTAATTAGGACATAATCTAGAAGTTTGCTTGCATGCGCTAGAAGCTTGCTTACATGCGTAAACATATTTTGAAACCGCAACCGCATTTGTTGTTATTGTGGTTAACTATTTAGTGCTGTAACATACTGTATTGCGTATGGGATGTAGGTCACAAAACCACAATACTTCCCATTAGGTATTTTATATATATGAGTAGTTTACACCACTGAGTACAACCTACGAGAACAACCTACGAGCACAAGCTACGAGGAGATAAACTTAGGAGGCATAGACTACCGAAGTAGTTTGACAAACTACAATCTACCAGACAACTATCTTGGCATTTATGCCATAACTATCTTTTGGCTTTTGTGCCTTTAATCTATTTGGAAAACTATTGTGAGTCATTGTTGGACTCATGAACGCTCAAGAATAAAGATATCGGTTGTACTAAGACAGAGGAGATAAGTTTGATTCATACTTATTGATATTATAATTAAGACACTTATCCACTTTAATATTTACGCGTTGGTTAACAAATTGTTTGAGAAACATAACTGGTTCACACTATCTTTGTTGCGTGTGGAAATAGAACCAAAATTAATAGTTATTCTTTCGGGACCACGCACGTAACATGCACATTGATCAAAACAACAAAAAGGCGAGCTTGCCGGGATGTGTAATCCATTTTAAAGGTGAAAATGGGCCATTGACTGATATTACCGAGACATCTTTGAAAAAGTTTTACATTGTCACGAGCTTTGGTTACTATACAATGGTGAGCAGAAAGACATCGCTGAAAAGAAAGAAAATTTGATGAAAAAAATTCAGTCCATGAAAAGTCTTTGGCTGAGTACCGTGGAGAGTTAAAGTACCATAGAAATTGCTATGCAAAGTTCACCAATGTCGGCTTGATTAGACAGCCTGAAAAAGAATGATCAAAAGTTTGAAGCTTCAGCAGCCACTGTCAATGAAAACTATATACAAAAAAATAAGTCGACAGATGTAAATGAGCCTCACACGAAACTGCTACGATCATCCTCGTTTTGTCATGACAGTTCTATACCTCCGATAAGAACTAAAGCAGTTTTGCCATCAATATGCATAATATCCAAGCAAGAAAAGTCCTTCGTCACTCAATCGGTAAATAATGTAACAAATAAACCAATATTTTACAGGTATTCCTGTTTTGTAACATAGTAATGTTCTGTACTTAATCTACCTACAATATAATTTTACTTTTGTTATCTTACTGATGGTGAAAAATGTCCAATTACAATTTTTCTACAATTTGGTAAAGATCTTTATTTATTGACGGGAACTGGTAAAAAATTTCGAGCCATAAATATCACATCAATATCAGATGGACTCGGAGAGGATTTGTGCCAATGCTTACCGTCATTTCATGCATTCACAGGTGAGTACAATTTATATGTCCAGCAAACATCCATAAAACCTTGTAATTTTTTCTTTGCATAATTGAAAAAAAAACAAGGCTTCATCACCATAAAATGAAAAGTAAAAAGCCTCAAATAATCTACAATTGGTATAATTTCTTTTTCGGCATAGGCTGCGATTATACGAGTGTCTTTACGGGTAAAGGGAAACCGTGGAAGGTACTTCATGATAACCCTGAGTTTGTCGAAACATTTAAATTACTTGGTTCGACATCTGATCTTCCTGAGGAAGTTGTGCTTTCTTTAAATAAATTTGTATGTCTTCTTTGTGGCGATAAGAGTTTAGCGCGTGTTAATGCTTCAAGGTAAATATAAAATATATTTTGCTACTATTGTCTTTTTGCATTTGCTTTGTATTTCTTTCGGTCCTAGATACACTCTCTTTGCATCTGGCAAGTGTTCGGACGAATGCCTTCCCCCGAATGCAGATAGCATGCTTTTGCACATTAAGAGAGCCAACTACCAAGCAGCCATCTGGAAGAATAGTTTGCAATCGCACATTAATGTTCAACCTCCTGTGAGCCATGGATGGCACATGAAAATGGTCAGAGATTCTTTGGATGACTGGACCATCTGCTCCAGATACACTTATTGAGTGCGTGACATGCAAGTGTAAAGCTGGTTGCAAGAATCTTCGATGCTCGTGCGTGAAGTCTGGTTTGCAATGTACTGACAATTGCGGTTGTACTGACTGCAATAACTACGCCTCTGAAGATGACGGCCCAATAAAAGAGCCGGATGAGTGCGATGATAGCGATTACGATGATACCGACGATACACATGAAAACTTCATAAACGATTTCAATGAAATGTTCTATTAAGAATGCACTGCTCAGCAGTGTGAACAGCAGGAGCTAGATGGCGACCAAAGGATTCTGAGTACGCAATGTCATGTGCCAATTTATTATCGTTATATTATTTACACAAAAAGATGAAGGACTCCTTTGCAATTAAATTTCAAGAATTGTTTTTCATTTTTAGTCTTTTGTCCATCAAACAGCTATGGAAGATTAATAGCTAAACATATCATTTCAAATTAACTTAGAAAGATTGATCCTTAATCATTATTTAGCACCGTTCTTTTGAATATGAGCCAGCAAATTTAGCGAATTTCACACAAAACAATATGGCGGATATAGAACATAAATGTCGAATTTTGATGGCTCTAGCTCTCTTGATTGCAAGTTTTCGGGATGTAAACAGGCAGATTTATATTAAGTGAGTACATATCAGTACATCTATGTTGTTTTTACTTAGTCATGAATTTCTGCATCTCAACCTGAACAATAATCCACCATAGAATACGGCCTAATATGGATTTAAAATATTCTATATGATTTTAAAATGTCCTAATTAAATTCATAATGCTGCGCGCGCTCATTAAGATAAAACAAAATGGCGACAAGTGGTAGTGTAAATCATCCGAGAGAGCGCAATGAGCGAGGATTGCATATTTTCTTTCACGAACTTAAATCTATATTTAGTCAAGTCTACCATCTTGACGAAAGTTTAGAAAGTGCAGACGAGGAGATCTTGGAGGCTTTAACTAGGCGACTGGTAGAGGCATCAGCAACGTTACGCATGTTGACTGATCACATCTCAGAAATAACGAGAACACACGAGGGGGAATTTAACTCACTAAAGACTCGTCTAATCTTACTTATGCAAAATGTTGATGAAATATGCGGAATTCTATGTCGCCAACGGCCAAGTACAACGTATTTGGGTTTTCATGCCGAAAAAAAAAGTTAGGTAATGGTCCTGGTCGTCCTAAAATTGAAGTCAGTAAAGAACAACTGGAATTTTTAAGATCTTTACACTTTAATTGGAGAACCATTGCCAAGATTTTAGGTGTTAGTATAACTACAATAACAAGAAAGCGAGAAGAGTTTGGTCTAAATGTAGACTATGACTTACAATGGTCTCAAATATCCAGTGAAGATTTAGATAGTGTCGTTAAAGATATACAAAAACTAACTCCAAATATTGGTGAGCGTAGGCTGATGGGAGCCTTGCGAGGTAGACACATACGTGTCCAACGAAGAAAAGTACGAGACAGTTTAAGGCGAGTAGATCCAATTGGTATTACATTAAGATGGAGACCAGTTATCTATCGACAAACATACTCAGTTCCTTGCCCAAACGCCTTATGGCACATAGACGGCAATCATAAGTTAATAAGATATCGGTTTGTTGTGCACTGCTGCATTGATGGTTACTCGCGATTACTTGTTTATGTGCACTGTGCAGATAACAATAGAAGCAACACAGTCCTAAAAAAATTAAGGAAGGAGTGAGAACTTATGGACTGCCGTCAAGAGTTCGTAGTGACCATGGCATGGAGAATTTCGGAGTTGCTACTTATATGCTGGAACAAAGAGGTTTAAATCGGGGTAGTATCATTACTGGTAGCTCTGTTCATAACTGCAGAGTTGAAAGAATACACAGAGATGTGTATGCTGGAGTGTTGTGCTTTTATGCATCTGTTTTCAATGATTTGGAGAATTCAGGACTCTTAGATCCATTAAACGAAGTGCACATGTTTGCACTTCATTTCATATTTAAAAGAAGAATAAACAAATCACTTGAAGAGTTTGTTGAGCAATGGCAACACCACCCACTCTCATCAGAGCACAATCGTTCGCCAATTCAGTTATTTACTCAAGGTGTACTGAAAAGTTTAAATTCAGGTTACACTGGTGTTGATAGCTTTTCAAATGAAGCAGAGATGCAAGCTTATGGTGTTGACAATGAAGGTCAACTTGATGTTGATTGTGCAGATTACCAAGTGACAGTTCCTGTGATTGATACTGGTTTGAACAATGATGGCACTTCCTTTGTAAAAGAAAACATTAATGCTGAATCAGGAGACGGTGTTATGGCATATTTACAAACGGTAAATCTTATTGAAGAAATACTAGGTAACAGGCAGTACATTGGCAACAATTTTCAAACAAATATTGGTTGATATATGAATATAGCAAACTAAGTTGTAAAACAAAATTACGCTCAAAATAAACAATTGAACAATAACTCCATATGTGCATGTAGTTGTATCATTGTATGTATACATACGAGTTAGTCCTTAACATTAAATAATATGTCTAAAGAATTAATAAACATTCTCGTCTATACCAGGTCCATTTCTATATCCACCTGGTTCAAGATGTTAGTAAATTCCTGCCTAAAATCGCAGAAGTCTTCATACGTTGAAGGTAGTTCAATTACACAGCCACATGCATGAAAAAAAGGCCTTCTCCCTGCTCCAGCGAGTGATGTAAATGTGACTTTAATACCTTCAACAATGACAACATCAGAACCAGTACAAAGTCTGAGAAATTTACGTAACAAAGAATCATCTAATCCTTTAACATATCTCTTCAAATGCGACATACTTTCTGATTCTGCTGAGCTTTCTGGATTTGCAATAAACATTCTAAAAATCTTTGCTGATGTAGGTTTCAACTTTGAGAAATGCATTTCCAAAGTATCAACTGTTGGAAAAAACATCTTAATCTTTGAAAGGATAGTTTCCCAACAATCTGCAACATATTTTGGCTTCTGAACAAGCTCTTTATGTGCCAATTCAATCAAAATATCAGATAGATTCACTTCTTTGACAACCTTTCAGCAGTCAAAGGCTGTAAGGAAATCTTTAAAATCATCATCATCCAAGGATAATCCTTGCGAAAGTGCTTTCTCAATAACTTCAGCCTCTTCCCTTGAGATGTACCTTTTAAAGGATTCCAAATACATCTCTCTACAAATAGCATTTTCGCCAAAAAAAAGAGACACAATAAATACTTGAGATATTTAGACAGGAAAATAATTCGCTTGAAGATATCCTTTGAGAAAAATGCGAGCAACAGCTTCCCAAAGGCTTCTATTCATATCATGTCGTATGCACGGAACTCTTTCATCTTCTCCTAACATCAAGCTAATGTGTGCGTCCTGCCAGAAAAGGGAAAGAGCATCACGAAAAACTCCATCACCATCACCTTTCTCTTCATTACCATGATCATTGACCATCTTTACAACTACAAACTTATTCAAGATGCCCTCATCAAGAAATATCAACATAAACTCCTTTCTAAGATTGGATCTGTGAAGTGTGATGGTTGTCGATTCTTGTATAGCATCTGTCGATTCTTGTGCTGCATATGACACAGGAAGGTTGGATGTAGAAATGACTTCAGGAGTAGCAAGTACTTGTGGTGATGTATAGACTGAATATCAACAGATGCAACAAACTCACCATCACTCACCAAAAATTCTGAAATTGGGAAAACATATAGTCAAAAATAGAATATAGTAGTACCTAGGCATACCTAAATATGTATGCTACCTTCAAATGGTGTTTGATAATTCTCAGAGGAAGAGCTCTTAATAGTTGGTGTTGTGACTGGTGTTGACAATTCCTCCTGATAATTGTTGTCATTAGCACGACTTGTATCTAATTTTTAAAGAAAATATATTTTTTATATGTGCACCCAAATTTTAGCACCATAGTAATGAAATAAATAATAGCGTGAGTTTTAACTTACAGACATTCATTGTAGTTTGAATAAGGCTTTCACCATCAGAGTCAGAAGAACTACAATCTAACTCAAACACAGCATGCTTTTCCAATAAACGAACATACACAGCACCTTGTCCAGAGACTTTCAGCAAAGCATCTGCATTTATTGAACATCCATTAGCAAACTTGGGTTTGACAAGTTCTCCATAACATGCCTGTAAAAAGTATGGGTGAAATAAAAGTTTTGATAACAATTATTGTGTAACATAAGAATCAATCACCAATTAGCATTCACAGCTTAAGCACCTTGCCAAGACCTTGAAACATCTTTCCTAAGTCTTGTCAAGATGAATCATGATCTTGGCAGGATCATACAAGGTGTTGACAAAATGAGCCATGATCCCATAAATAAAATTTTAAGATTTTGGTGTGTAAAACTTTCACAACATTGGAGATACAGACTGGTCATGCAGGGGTTTGCCCATTTCATACGTATGTAATAAAAGCATGTGGGGGGGTGCATGATAAATGCTTACATTTGCATATATAATAGGAAGGGGGTGTTAATCTGCTATTATGTACAAAGAGCAATCTAATTTTGGTTTCCTAAATAAAAACACAATTTTCACATATTTTAAAAGTTATGCAGGTCAATAATTTATACATACTAGCTAAGATTACAGAAATCAGAGAGCTTAGTATCAAATGAACATTGGTTTTAAAAATAAATGCTGACTTTCACCCGAGGTTTAAGACTATTAAATTAGCAAACTTGAAGAAAAAAACTACCATTGTGTACAAACAAGAAGAGGGATGTTTAAAATTTGAACAAGTTTAAATAAGTTAGTTACTAAGTGGATACAGGACAACTCCTGGCTATTGAGTCAAGATATGCTGGATTCCAAACAACCTTACCTTCATATACTCAAAAGCACATGACGTTTTGGTAGTTGTAGCTCAATGTTGCATTTTAAGGTGGCAGCATCCCAAGATCGGTCAAAGGAAAACCTGACACGATAAGTCTATTTTTCAAGTGCTACACGAGCCTTATGTGTGGGGACCTTTGTCGTTTCAGGATTGGGAATGATCACTAAATCTCTATAGACAATATTAGATGTACTAGGTCTTCCTCTTTTGGTTGTTGTTCTAGTAGTCCACGTTCTTTTCTTGTTTTGTCTATTTGAATCGCTATGTTTGCCTTGAACAGAAATTCCAGATCCGGATGCCGATGGCGATGGGCGATAGCTTGGAAACCTTTGCGCCAATTCAGCTCGGATAGACGTTAGATTCTCTGCTTCTGCATCTGAAGTATTAGACGTAGTTGCAGCAATCCGTTGAACATCTTCGCTGGTTATACTTTGAATTGAACGGAGAGCAATAGCAGCCTGTTCACAAGCAGCTGCAAGACTTTGTCGTTTGTCGGCCATGATGTTTTGGTTCGACGCGCGCGCGCAGTATTATGAATTTAATTCATATGTACATACAGTACGTATTCCATATATGGATATATATTGCACAATCCATAAGAGCAAATACACGACGCTAAAGCGCAAATACATGACGATAAAGAGCAAATACACGACGTGGTTGGTTGTCAACAGTGGGTTTTACTTTCTATGAATACAGCCTCACTAAAGGCGGCAAGTGAGACAGGCTTTGGTCTTTAATGGAAAAAAGATTGTACTCTATTGATAAAAGCAGTCCCATCTCGATGTAATGAAGAAGGTACTATAACTATTAATCCTTTGTATTTTATCTTATCAACTCACGAAATTTACTCAAACTAGTTGCTGCAGCAGTAGATGGACAAACTTTGTTTATGTTTTGGCTCCAAAGTGATTAAATCTTTTGTTTCTTAAATTACATTTCTAGTCGCCTTGTTTTTATGGTATTTCTAATCAGATAACTTTCTAGTTTGTATGTTTGTGTCTCTATTAGATTTGTGGTCTAATAACTGTCTGTGTTCTCTGAAGTATGGGTTGTCTCTTGATTATGTTGTTTGTTAACTGTGATGTTCGATGACCTCATTGTCTTATGATTATTATGTTTCATTACATTATTGTATGATTACTATATTTTCTGATGATTGTATCGTTTTATGATTTTATTGTCTGATGACATTTTCTGATGATTTTTTTATGACTTTATTGTTTGATGATCGTATTGTCTAATGATTACATAGTCTAATGACTGCATTTTTAAATGACTGTATTGTCTAATGACTGTATTATTTAATGACCCTATTGGCTGATGATTATATTGTTTGATGACATTATTATCTAATGACTGTATTGTTTCATGACTGTATTGTTTAATGACTGTATTGTTTAATGACTGTATTGTTTAATGACTGTATTGTTCAATGACTGTATTGTTTCATGACTGTATTGTTTAATGACTGTATTGTTTAATGACTGTATTGTTTAATGGCTGTATTGTTTAATGACTGTATTGTTTAATGACTGTATTGTTCAATGACTGTATTGTTTCATGACTGTATTGTTTAATGACTGTATTGTTTAATGACTGTATTGTTTAATGACTGTATTGTTCAATGACTTTATTGTTTAATAACTTTATTGTTCAATGACTGTATTGTTTAATGATTGTATTGTTTAATGACTGTATTGTTCAATGACTTTATTGTTTAATAACTTTATTGTTCAATGACTGTATTGTTTAATGACTGTATTGTTCAATGACTGTATTGTTTAATGACTGTAATGTTTCATGACTGTATTGTTCAACGACTTTATTGTTTAATAACTTTATTGTTCAATGACTGTATTGTTTAATGACTGTATTGTTCAATGACTGTATTGTTTAATGACTGTAATGTTTCATGACTGTATTGTTTAATTACTGTATTGTTCAATAACTGTATTGTTTAATGACTGTATTGTTTCATGATTGTATTGTTTAATAACTATATTGTTCAATGACTGTATTGTTTAATGACTGTATTGTTTCATGACTATATTGTTCAATGAATGTATTGTTTGATGACTGTATTGTTTAATGACTGTATTGTTTCATGACTATATTGTTCAATGACTGTATTGTTTAATGACTGTATTGTTTAATGACTGTATTGTTTAATGACTGTATTGTTTAATGACTGTATTGTTTAATGACTATATTGTTTAATGACTGTATTGTTTAATGACTGTATTGTTTAATGACTGTATTGTTTAATGACTGTATTGTTTAATGACTGTATTGTTCAATGACTTTATTGTTTAATAACTTTATTGTTCAATGACTGTATTGTTTAATGATTGTATTGTTTAATGACTGTATTGTTCAACGACTTTATTGTTTAATAACTTTATTGTTCAATGACTGTATTGTTTAATGACTGTATTGTTCAATGACTGTATTGTTTAATGACTGTAATGTTTCATGACTGTATTGTTCAACGACTTTATTGTTTAATAACTTTATTGTTCAATGACTGTATTGTTTAATGACTGTATTGTTCAATGACTGTATTGTTTAATGACTGTATTGTTTCATGACTGTATTGTTTAATGACTGTATTGTTCAATGACTGTATTGTTTAATGACTGTATTGTTTCATGATTGTATTGTTTAATGACTATATTGTTCAATGACTGTATTGTTTAATGACTGTATTGTTTCATGACTATATTGTTCAATGAATGTATTGTTTGATGACTGTATTGTTTAATGACTGTATTGTTTCATGACTATATTGTTCAATGACTGTATTGTTTAATGACTGTATTGTTTAATGACTGTGTTGTTTAATGACTGTATTGTTTAATGACTGTATTGTTTAATGACTATATTGTTTAATGACTGTATTGTTTAATGACTGTATTGTTTAATGACTGTATTGTTTAATGACTGTATTGTTTAATGACTGTATTGTTCAATGACTTTATTGTTTAATAACTTTATTGTTCAATGACTGTATTGTTTAATGATTGTATTGTTTAATGACTGTATTGTTCAATGACTTTATTGTTTAATAACTTTGTTCAATGACTGTATTGTTTAATGACTGTATTGTTCAATGACTGTATTGTTTAATGACTGTATTGTTTCATGACTGTATTGTTTAATTACTGTATTGTTCAATAACTGTATTGTTTAATGACTGTATTGTTTAATGACTGTATTGTTCAACGACTTTATTGTTTAATAACTTTATTGTTCAATGACTGTATTGTTTAATGACTGTATTGTTCAATGACTGTATTGTTTAATGACTGTAATGTTTCATGACTGTATTGTTTAATTACTGTATTGTTCAATGACTGTATTGTTTAATGACTGTAATGTTTCATAACTGTATTGTTTAATTACTGTATTGTTCAATAACTGTATTGTTTAATGACTGTATTGTTTCATGACTATATTGTTCAATGAATGTATTGTTTGATGACTGTATTGTTTAATGACTGTATTGTTTCATGACTATATTGTTCAATGACTGTATTGTTTAATGACTGTATTGTTTAATGTTTGTTTTGTTTAATGACTGTATTGTTTAATGACTGTATTGTTTAATGACTGTATTGTTTAATGACTGTATTGTTTCATGACTGTATTGTTTAATGACTGTATTGTTTAATGACTTTCTTGTTTCATGACTGTATTGTTCAATGACTGTATTGTTTAATTACTGTATTGTTTAATGACTGTATTGTTTAATGACTATATTGTTCAATGAATGTATTGTTTAATGACTTTATTGTTGAATGTATTGTTTAATGACTTTGTTGTATTTTACATCGTTAAATGCATTAAAGATAAAAGAAAATGAGATGAAATTCCTCATTATCTTTTGTTTTGAATGCATTTGACTCATGTAAAATGATATAAGACAGGCATTATTGTCTCATGTCTGTGTTGTCGGAGAGGGTGCATAACCTCTAAAACTCATAAACTCTGGTGCATAACCTTTTAGTGTCCTCTAAAACTGTTGAAGTTGTTGGCTGCATGTGCATGCCTGTTTCTGAAGATATTATCTTATAATTTCAATGATATAGCAACTCAAAGATACAATTTTGTAATCTAATCGTCCTACACGGTTTAAACTTCTTGGGAAGGGGGAGGGGGTATGGCAGGGGAGTGACATCCGTCGTTCGTCTAGTCGGGCAACTTTTTGAAATTGAGATAAAAATACAATGTGATGTACTGCAATTTAGAAAACATAAGGCAATATTATAAAGATAATTGTTCCATAACTTTAAAAAGTACATTACATAGGGTTTCGTACTAGTACATATTGAATCTTATTTAAAAGAAATTTTGAGATAAAGTAATACAAAATATTTGGCACTTCCATGACGTGTCAACGTGATATGTAGAAAGAAGT